ATTTATGTTTTAAACACAACGTCTGTAACACTGGAAATCTTGAAATCAAAGTTAAACCAAGAAAATGCCAGATAAAATTTGCTGCATAATATTTGAAACGTAACAAAACTGTTAAAAATAAATAATGAATATTATCAATTAAATACATAATAAATGGATGCTTGAATAGATTTAAACTGGAAAGTTTGCCTAAAATTACTTTTATTTAATTAAAATAAAATTATTACTAATTTGAGTAATATAAAAATACAAACATTACAGAAAAGCAGAAAGTGAACCTGAAGACAGCAGAGTTGTCCAAAAAGTTTCTCAACTACACAATCCAGACCCGTCTAGTTAGGATCTTTATAACAAGAGCTTCTGAGGAAAGCTAATACCTAGAAAAGCGCGTCTCCGGCCCGGATCCTGATCACCAGAACGGCCTGACCACAGCACCTGGAGACTCTCAGCTCATAAAGCTCTGTGGCAAACTGCGGTTTTCACTCTTGTCCCGGCAAAGCTGACAGTGTGACAAATTTACAGCCCGCGAGGCAGTTAAACACATTCGGCACTCAGCGTTCTCCCTGTCAAACGAGAGCAAGTACACATCCACCTTTTAGTCCGTTAGAACCGCAGCACAGCCATTGGAACACACACACACACACAGACACACACAATAACAGTGTTCCTTTCCTCCCTGTCAAAATAACCAAGTTAAGCGCAGCAAAGATCATTAAGGGCTGAATCAATGTTCTCTCTAAGCTGATGCTCCTCCAGAAAAAGAAAAAAAACAAAAGCTGTTATTTAAGACATAACAAATCTTGTGGAGACAAGGACCGCAATCCTTTAAAGTACAGCAAGAAGAGTTCAAGTTTATACACTGTAAAAAAATATTGATGGTTTAACTTAAAAAAAGTAAGTTACCTGGTTCATTGAACTGGAAAAAGTGAGTTAATACAATGAAGGAGATTAATTTAACCATCAGAAACTCAAAATTTTATGTTATCTGAACTAAATAAATTATTTAAGTTGATTTGACAAAAGAAAATATGTTGTGATTACTACACTGTAAAAAAATATTGTTGGTTTAACTTAAAAAAGTAAGTAACCCGGGTTGCCTTAAAAGTTTAAGTTGATTGAACTGGAAAAAGTGAGTTAATACAATGAAGGAGATTAATTTAACCATCAGAAACTCAAAATAATAAGTTATCTCAACTAAATTAATTATTATAAAGTTGATTTGACAAAAGAAAATATGTTGTGATAACAAATCTTGAAAATATTGGTACAGTATAAAACTGCAAAAGTAAACATACGGAAGCCCACAGAGGTCATGCACTTAAAGTTATCTTTTAAAAAAACAAAAGCAATATATACTTTAACGGATCGACCACATCGTGCAATAGTAAGCCTCCATGACATAAAGGACAACTTGATGTGCCCCGAAGAAACTTTAATATAGAACAGCAAAGAGCCAAAAATAAACCATCCGCCACAAAGACTTCAGAAGGCCTCATTAAGAAGGTGTGCAGATCTGTTACTTCAGAGGATAGTGACCTACATACCTAAAATAGAGAACTAGATTCAGTGTGGCCCCTCGCTCTCTCTCTCTCTCTCTGTGTGCTAAGTTGACAACTAAACTGCACACACACACCAACCCAACACAACCCAAGCTAAGCTAAAACTACTCGACTCCTTTGCCATTTTGTCCTCCTGCTCTTTTCTTTTGGTGCATTCCCTCTTTTCCATGCTTTGAAACCGCACTCCAGAAGAGAAAGCCGAGCGATAATGCCTGTCCAAACATCTCATTCCTGTGACACAAGTGGGCAACAGAAAAAAGGCTTTTCTTAAAGAAAAAGACATTTTAGGAGAACAGGTGCCACGGCATCAGACAGACAGGTTGTGTAATGGGAATAAATGAAGAGTTCAGATGCAAAAGCCTCTAAACGCCATTTGAAATTTTCTTCTTTAATGATGATTTGTATCAACTTAAGTTCAGTAATTTCACTTAAATAACAATTAATAAGTAATCATTGCCATTTAAGTGAAATCACTGAACTTAAATATACAAGCTTGATAAAAAATGATCATTTTAGAAGAAAATTTTTGCATCTGAACTCTTCAAATGTTTTTTTTTTTTTTTTTTTTGACTAAAATTACTGAACACTGAAAAATACCTAAAAATAATAAAGCGGAAATTAGTACAAACATGTATTGCATATTAGCCTACAACATAAAGCACATTTAATCCATTAGCTAAAGTTCCTGAATAAATTACCAAAGCAAGCACATATGTTTTTTAGCTCAAATTGCCCATTTAAGCTAAATATTGTCTATTAGTTTAGCTTCTGTGAATGAAATCGCTGCTTAGAAAGGTAAACAAAAGGGCCTCTCTCTCTATATACACATATATCTTTAAGATGAATGCACTCCCTGAAAAATATTCTGCTTGAACAAGTTCAAAGACGTCCTTAAACACTGTGACAGATGCCATAAGTATATAACAGCGCGAGCCGTACAGTCCTTCCAACAGTTTACGCAAAGTTTCTCAAGTTCACAGCAAGCCGTCAACTTCCATAAGCAATACTAGAGGATTTACAAACGGTCTTTATCAGATCGCCGTCCGTATTTTGGTATGTACATGCACACACACGGCACCGACGCCTCCGGCCGTGACCCTTCAGCCCAGCTGCGGTTCAAAAGCACAAAGCTGCCTTTTCACCAAAACCTGTGATAAACTGCCTGAGCTGTTTCTCATAGGAAGGAAACGCACAAAAAAAGACTCGTACAGATCCTTTGTGTTCATGCAACTTTAGCAACAAAACCCAGCATAGTACTCACGCTGAACACGAGTGCCTGGCCTTGTGAAGGAAAGAATCCTGCTAGTTCTGGTCCATTTCGTGTTTCGCCGCCACCGTAAAAATCTCCCTCCGAGCCGGAGCTGCGGAGACCCGAGGGCCCCCGGGAAAACTGCCTGCCGGTCAGGCTAGGAAACCGGCTTCTGTGTGGGGAGCAGCTGTTCCCCTCCTCCTCCTCCTCCCGACCGCAGCGGTTCTGCTCAACCACACAAAAGCGGACGGGACGCGGATGCCTCCTCCCAGCAGTCGCACAAGCGCAGACGAGCGGGGCTGCTGGTCACAGAGGCAGGTATTTAGTTCGCACCGTTTTCTAGTTTGTGGACTCGCTGCTTTTCTCAAGAGTGGGAGGGGACAAGCGGAAAGATTCTGGGCGAGGAAACGGCACATAATCCCTAACGGCAGAAACTTCCTCCTCGCTGCTAATAAGCAGGACATCCCCCGTCCGAGCGAGCAGGAATGCGAGGCCCACTTTCAAAGAGGCCCAGTTACAAACAGGGCACAAAGTCACTTCAGCGTGACCTGGGGTCAGACACGGCAAGTGCGTGTGTGTGTGTTTAAGCGGACATAACCACTAAACAGATGTGTGAAAGCAGAAAAGACAGACAGACTATCATTTGATTTATTAATTATATAAATTAACCTTTTTCACTTTGAAATTAATTTTTGGTATGTTTTAGCTTACCATCCAAGATGTAGGTGTCGCAGTAGTTTCAATTTTGATATTTTTAGCTCAATCATATAATAGAGGTCTATGGTCACCACCTCAAAGAGCATGCACAGAGAAGTCCAAATTAAACATGATTTAATGACTCGTAAATGTAAGTACACATTGATGGCCTAAGACACGAAACGAGCGGTTTGTGTGAGAAAACGAACAGTGTTTATATCGTTTTTACCTCTTGTAATCACAGTCACGTCCATGTGATCTGAGGGCGCGGGTGCTTTGTGGCTGTGGTTACAAGATATAAATACTGTTCGTTTTCTCACACAAACCGCTCGTTTCGTGTCTTAGCCCATCAATGTGTACTTACGTTTATGAGTCATTAAATCATGTTTAATTTGGACTTGTGGATGCTCTTTGAGGTGGTGACCATAGACTTACATTATATGACTGACAGATGAGAACGAACGGTTTCACCTAAAAAAATCAAAATTGAAGCTACTGTGGAAACAAAGACATCTACATCTTGGATGCCATTGGGGTAAGATAAAACATACCAAAAATTAATTTCAAATTTAACTATCCCTTTAATTAATTTGCTTTACTCTTCTTGAGAACCCTCTTTGTGATCTAAACTATCGAAATCAACTTGCTCCACCTCTGAAATGACTTTTCTTTTCAACTGACATCATCAAGCCCACTTATTTTTGTACTCCACCGCTTTAACCACTCGTCTGAACACCATATTAACACACTACCCCCACTATCACTTACCACGTTTGTGAAAATGAACCGTTACTTTCAACGAAAACTTTCATTTCCAATGTGACAGATGAACAGCAAGCAATATCAGCTGTGATTTTAAACTCATTCTTGGCATTATTTTATTAACAGACTGCCAAACGGTACATCAAATTGGATTAAAAATGCAAAATGACCATTTTTATTTGCAAAACGATGACTTGCCACATGCCGAATATAAACGTGCAATTTACATTTGTATTCGGCAGACGTTTTTTTGCATTGAAGGAATGCATTTGAACAGGGGGTTCGAACCCATGACCTTGATGTTGCTAGTACCATACTCTACTATTTGAGCTATAGGAACACTTTACTTCAAATTCATGAGGTCATGTGATTACATTGTACTGTATCACTGTTTTTATTCTAAACTGTTATTTAAGGTACTAATATGTACAATATGTACATTTTAGGTGCCAATATGTACATTTTAGATACTAATATGTACATTTTAGGTGCTAATATGTACATTTAAGGTGCCAATATGTACATTTTAGGTGCTAATATGTACATTTTAGGTGCCAATATGTACATTTTAGAAACTAATATGTACATTTTAGGTGCTAATTTGAACATTTTAGGTCCTAATATGTAGATTTTATGTGCTAATATGTACATTTTATGTGCTAATATGTACCAATATACACCCTTTAAGTACAAAAGTGTACCTTTTGAAACCTTTTGTTCAGTGTTTTAGTCACCTTCTCCAGAAGCTCTTCCAGGTATCAGCTCCTGCGCTGGCTGAGTCACTTGAGGAGAGGCGAGCTGAGCATGTGGAGAACTCAAATCATGTTCAACGAGGATGTGGATCTTTTCACTCACGTCACCATTTCAAGTGTCTGCAGCTAAAAATAATAATGAAACGTCAGAAGTCAGAAAATACCACATGACAAATCAATCATTTGTACAGCACAGTTGTCAACTTCTATTTGTGCTTTATAAATAAATGAAATGAAATTCAAACTGGCACTTATTTTATGGCACAAAACTTATTTTAAACATGTGGAGTAACTTAAATAAAGGGAACTGACTGTAACACTCAATAATTTAAATAACACAACAACACTTTGAAACAGTTGATGTGATTAATTAAATGAGATTACTTCTCAGAATGAAGCATCTGCAAATTTTAATTGTAAGATAAAATGACACTCCACAGTAAAACTAATACAAAACTACTTAATATACAAATCCATATGTATTTAAATCTGCAGATAAGACCAAAAATAACATAAAATGAACAAATCTTTTTTCGAGTCAGAACGAGTTGACGAAAAGATTCGTTCATTTTGAAGAACGAGTTCGAATAGGAGAGTCACGAAGAACAGAGCAAGGCGACCATTTGAGCTTATAAAACTTAAACTTTTTAATTTATTTATTAAATGAGCGATCGTTTCACTTGATAAGACCCTTATTCATCGTCTGGAATCGTTTTAAGCCCTTTGAACAATTTGCAGTTTGCACTGAAACTGTCTTTTGGACCCCATTGAAGCCCATTATATGGAGAAAAATCCTGGAATGTGTTCATCAAAAACCTTAATTTCTTTTCAACTGAAGAAAGAAAGACATGGACATCTTGGATGACATGGGGGCGAGTAAATTATCAGCAAAAGTTTTTTTAAAAGTGACCTACTCCTTTAAGATCCAGAGCTACTTTATGCTGCATTTGTCAGAATAATACAGTATAAATATGGGTTATTCAGCAATCTGAAACACTGATGTAGCTCTCACTAAAAGTTAAAGCTTTGCTCACTGACATACCATGCAGGCACTTGACAAGTATTTAAAAACCTACAGTAAAACAACACAAGTTTTTCCATCAAGGTGCAAAAAGGTGCAGGATACTACAGGAAAAGAAAATCTGGACGCATCAGACGTTGCATTACCCAAACCTAGTATGAAGAAAGAGCGATCTTTGAGTTGATTTTACGCTAAAAAGTTGGAAAATATACCACAAAAATGAAACCCCGGGCCTTTATCCTATGTTGATCAAGGTGTTCAGCACGCCAGTTTCCACTGACCCTGAGTCACAGCAGATTATTTTTGTATAGATCAAGTAGAGATTTACGGTTTAGGTGTATTATATTAATAAGATCCAAGTCAAAGATATATCTATAAACTAGGATGTTCAGTAGTCCAAGTTTCAATGAAAGATGCATACAGAGAGCAGTGTGCTCTATAAAACACATTCAAAAAGCTGCAGAAATGAACACTTATTTTACACAAAATTAATTCTAAATAGTACTCAATATTTTTTTCGAAAACAGGAAAATGCTCATGATTCAGTCAGGAGGATGAAAGACTTGAAATTGACTCGAGGGGAAACTACCACTTAAACTACCACTCAAATGGGCACAGATCTAAGCCGATGCCAATATAAAGAGTGTCTCTAGTGTCACTTGGTGAAGAATCGATTGCCATCTATGCATCTGAAAAAGAGAGAGAGAGACAAAAAGAGAGATTGACGGCATGTCAAGGGTAAGTGAAACTCTGGAACCCGTCCAGGGTTGAAATGACCTAAGAGCTATTCATCCATCTCAAGGCATATTTCCTGTAATCAGAGAATTATGGTGATTGAAAGTGATTGGTCAGGGTCAGCACTAATGCACAATAAAACCAAAAGCTGAGCTGGGAAACATGGGGACCGATCAAAAGGCCCCAACCGTGCAATCCCGTAACCAGGACAAAGATAGTGAAGAGAGATGGCCTTCCATCAGCGAGGCAGAATCACTCATTTGGAGAGCCAATCAGCCTTTGAAAAGCTCTAATTCCTTATCGTGTGATGTCACAGTGCTACTCACCTGTGATTGGTCGCAGAAAAGAGGCATTAGTCGAAACGAGGCCACTGGGGTGCCGCGATTGGCTGTCGGCTCCTGGTAACAGTGTGGCCTGTGCGGAGACAGAGCCCAGCTTGTATCTTATTTGTCGACTGATGGGAATCTTGTTGAGCCAGCTGCGTTTCCATGGAAGAGGCACCTTGAGAGGGTCCCGAAACCACCCGAGCCCCCCTAACTCTCTCAACCCGACTGCCCCGTCCCAGCCCATCTCGCTTTAACCGCGCACCCCGCTGTGCTGCAGTGTTTGCGGTAAAATCACGGTCTCTGACACCCAGACGCCAGCAGTATCACCTCATTTTTCTTATTTTTTCTCTGGTGGTGGCGTGATTCTCTTCTCAAGCACGCTAAAGAGGCGACCGTTGATTGGTATTCAGTTCAGGAAGGGAAAAAAACTCTGGAACAAAAAATATCTCCAATGAATAGCTTTGCACAGAATGTCCTCTTCCATCGGGCTCTCAGAGAACAGCCTCGGGCTGCCTCAAGGGAACGTGGATATTTTAGCAGAGGGTACGCTCTGTATCCACTCCTGCTGCTGAATTTTGTCCGACAAGATCATTCTGGACAGCCAATAGAAAACAAAAGAAACGGACTGTACCAGAGAAAAGAGCATTTGGAGTAAATCAAACACCGCGTGCTGCGACAATCGGCCGATCACACCAACGCAGCAAAAATAAGAGACAATAGAGCGGCCATATTTGTTCGGTTCTCGTTTTAATGCTAATTCAGAGTGAGACCATTAAGCTGGTCTACCTAAACAGAATTTTTTAATGATTTGCAGAAATGGAGCTATCAGGGTACTTTTCTGAAACTGGCACTTTCTGCTGCAAAACAGCATGCTGAAAAATAAAAATAAATATATTTGCTGCTCAAAGGGCTTTAAACGATTCCAGACGATGAATAAGGGTCTTATCTAGGACCCTTCGAGTCATGACTCGAAAAAAGATTCGTTCATTTTGATGAACGAGTTCGAACAGGAGAGTCACGAACGCGTATCACAGAACAGAAGCATTTGTGCTTATAAAACTTAAACTTTTTATTTATTAGGATCGTTTCGCTTGATAAGACCCTTATTCATCGTCTGGAGTCGTTTAAAGAGTAACTAAACACTAAACCAACTCTTTTTAGTTAATGATCTGTAAGAATGGATCTTTATTAATACCAGTCATTGATTCGAGTAACTTTTTTGACATTTGTTTATAAAGTGTTCTATTTCTACAATATATGGTGTAAAAACGTCTCAGTGCTGCCCTCTTCAGGTTGAACGGTGGCTACTGGAGTTGAATTCTCTGCACTACGTGATGTACGCAGGTTTCAGCTCACCACGCGAGCTACGCCCTTGGCAGTATAAAAACCATCTTGTGTCGTCAAAACCACTGTAGGGAGTCAGGAATTGGGATTGTGAGTATTGAAAACGACCAGGATAGAGTGTTTTAGCATCTATTTCGTTCCCTCTATCTCCGCTGGGGTCTGCCCACTTTTTCAGCATTTTCAAATATTGCCAGTGGGTGGAGTCAGGCTCTGACCAGGGGTTTAGTTACCCTTTAAAGCCCCTTGAAGCTGCATTGAAACTCTCATTTTAAAATATACATATTAGATTAAAAACTAAAATGACTAAAACAAAACCGCACTAAAAATTAATTAAAGCTATACAGAATTAAGAATAACCACGTCAGTCAATAAAAATTATGACAAATGGCCTTGAAAGAAGCAGTGATTTAAACTGGCCCCTGCATTTCGCCATGTATTTGCTAATGTCTCTGTGGACCTGCAACAGACGCAGAGGGCAGCTGAGTCTTCGATTTTTGACTCGCGCGGCCAACCGCGACCCCCAGGCCTCGACGTGTCAGGTGTCACCGGGTGTCTAGACAGTCAGACAATGAAATATCACCATGGAAACGGGCAGGCTGTTATCAGCGGAGTGTGACAGTCAACAGTTGGGACAAGTCATGTTTAACAGATACACCGCCTGACCTTTTGAAGACAAACTAATAAAAAAAGCCCCCGAAGGCATCAGAAAGCAATGATTCATTGAAGTGAAGAAGAAACACGAGGGGACAAAAACTCAATTACAAGGTTAGCAACAGTTCCGGTTGTCTGGACGTGGTTAGATAATGAGACGTAAGCAGATAAATCCCTTCACAGATTAACATGGTCTCAGTAAACCAGCGCTGCAGGAAATTCATTTTGAAGACTAATCCTAGGTTGAATGCACATATTCAGGATAAGGAGGGAACAAATGTAATAATTGAAGAATCAACTAGTGAACCCATATTGGCCCACTACTATTATGGATGCTGGGTGAATAACGATGGATTAATCCATTCCTAAAATGCAATTAAACTAAACTGCAAAATGTATACAGAGGAAAAATAAGCATACATTTATACATTTTGTGTGGTTGCTGCCCAGTAAAAAAAAGAAAAGAAAAGAAGAACAGGGTAAAACTTTCACTAATGGTTAATGAATGATATTAATAAACATTATTACATTACTTAATGTTTCCCAATTAATTAATATATATTTATATAGTCTCAAGTCTAGGTTTTATTTATATGATGAATAATCTCAATCTTCAAATGAATCCAATCAACCCTGTTAGCTTAGCAGCAAGTTATTGTCCAAAAAAAATTATAAAATATTTAAGTTTATCAACAACAAACCAACAGATTTGGCCTCAAACGAACCGGCTTCTCCTGAGTGACAGATTAATGAGTCTTCCCGTGTCATTTTGACATCAGAAACACTTCAAATTGATGTCTATAAACAACGAATGACAATTCGTATATATACTCGCGATATATATTCATATTTATGAACGCCTGGACTTTAAATGAGTTTCAGTTGAGTATTTCATATTTCAATGTTGTTTAGTTAGTCTCATTACCTGTTTTGTGTACACGTCAGGGCACTTCACGTCTTCACTAGATTTAAATATATCATAGAAAGGTTTTAAATACGGTTTTGTTGCAACAAAACAACAAATAACGTCAAATATAAAAATGTAGACTGGCGCGAGCTCCGTGGTGGCGTCTCGCCTCAGATGCCGCGAGCGCCGATTCGCGCCAAATTGACGTCGCGCGCGCAACGTCTCCAACACAAAAAGTCTCGCGGAGTTTATCGAAACCAGGAATTATGTATTATTTCTTTTTATATTTATGGTTTAGTTTTTCCCCACTGAATAATTGGCAAATTTCAAATAGGTTAACACATATTTGGTCTTACCTTCTTGCAGTAATCAGGCTTTAAGGCTGGATTTGGGAGATGGAGTATGCTGTCAATCCACACATCAGAAGAAATCGTATTTAGTGCCTTTGGTCAGTTCCTTCTGTTTAGCAAGCAGGTTCGGCTAGTCTCGCGATAAAGGACGGCTGCATCTCTCCATCAATGACCTGCTTATTTCTAAAGTGGGTCACTGAGTGCACAGTTCTGGCAGAAAGCGAACTCGAATTCGGACCAGGCAATAGAACCAAGTGTGAAAGCACCCTAATACAATAAAACAGTTCCTAGAGAGCCTATTCACATTTTAAAGATGGCTTCTCAGAATTTTACCCATTTTGTTCAAATGCATTGTCATCCAGAATAAGAATAACAGCTATGAAAAGACAAATAATGACACAAAACAAGCATTTACAGCACAAACAGAATGGGTACTTACAAACGTGTAGGATCAGTACATTAAATCAGAGAGAATCATGCATTTACGGTGAGTTTTGGTTTGTTTATTTGTGTCAGCTTTGTTTAATAGCCTTTAAAGTCATATGCACGAAACAAGCTGCTCTGTTCAAAAAAATGAAAATCACACTCTTTGACACAAACATAAAGGTGTATGTACAATGGTAATGCATCCAGGACTTATCCACCTGTCTGAATGCTAAACTTGTAATTCTAGTTGATGCTTGGCATCAAAAACCCCTTTAAAGCTATCTTGAAGAAATGCAACAAAGCATGTTCAATCTGCACATTGTAATACGAATGCACAGCGATGGACTGTAGTATAGTATAGCATAGTACTGTGTACTTCAGTATAGGACTGTGTTCTCGGAGAGCATTAGTGTTTGTGCCTCTTTACTCTGTATCTAAGAAACTTCTTATGGTAAAACAAACTCAGGAAGAGTCTAAAAAAGATTCAGGTGCAGACAAATCTAAACATACTCTGTTCTCTTTGAGATGCCCAAAGTAGCACAGCACAGTTTCATTCAATGCCAAGTTCAATAAAGATTAGGAACGTTTAAAAAAATATGTATTTGGCCTAAAATAGCCATAAATAAAACTTTATTCTCTCAATGTATTAACAAGCCACAGTATGTCCCATGGCTGCCAACCACAGCACTTAAAACTTGAGTTAAAGTCCCGGGTGTCGGGTGCACAGACCCGTCACAGAGAACCTCCAGCTTTTTGTCTCACTGTCCTTAGAAAATCAAAACAAAACAATGCAGTAACACTGTAACAAACGGAGGGCGTGTGGCAGGTTGTTCTTATGTTAAATCGGGGGGCAAAATAAAACTAAATATTGAAATTAATCCTCAACCTCGTTTCACAAAGCTAAAGCTGCATGCGCCAAAGTCTAAAGCACCACTCTCACTTTGAAAAAATAGTTCACTCAAAAATAAACGTCGCATGTCGCTCACAACTCGTATGACTTTTTTCTTTTAAATATAATTAACATAAATGGTGACCAGCTCGAATGCTCTGCTCTCCTCTTCATACGGGTTTTGAAGCACATAAAGCAAGTGAAACTTATTTTTAGGTGAACTATACTTTGTCTCTTCTTAGTTTCACACCGTTCTTAACTTCTCACTGTTGCATTAGCTTTAAAATATAACAGAATCCTCAAAATAATATTAATAATACCAATAAGGATAAAGTTAAAATCTCTAGCAGCAAAAAGAGAAAGGAAAACTGGGTAGGTTTGGGGAAGCAGCCCTGCTTTAAGGAAGGCATGTGTTAGTGAAGTCTGCGCAGCTCATCTGCCGTCTGCAGGGGTCCGGCTCAGGGTGAGCGACGTCATGACCCGGCCGTAACGCTCGCACAGCTCCAGCGTGGAGTATGCTGGGAGTTTGGGCGCCTCGTGAAAGCTTTTGATCTCGGTCGAGCAGTCGAGCAGCTTAGGCAGGAAGTCGGTGAGCTTCTCCTGCAGATTAGCTGGTGATGAAAAGGACACAAGTTTGAGAGTGTGTGTGGCACATTAAAGGGACACTTCAGGATTTAGCATTAAGCTTTGTATAGGTAGGAAACCTGTAGTATTTTCGTATTACCGTGCTTTCCCCCCTCATATCCCCCTGAGATGAGAGATTTATGTATTTTTTGTCTCCGATGACGCAAAAAACGTCATTTTGAGAGGCTAAAGACTCCAGTCAGTAGTCGGGTCTGTCCCGCATGTCCTCAACCCGCCCATAGAGGGCGATCTCACTCACAGAATGAACACATAGTGTCGGCCATCTTGTTTTGGAAGCTAAGCTAGCAGGCTCTTGTTCTGTGGAGAAAGCTGAGTAGTCGGGGTTCCCGTCCTCTTTTTCCCGTCGATGTCCGGGATTCAGCTTTTGCTTTTTCATTGTTTACATGCACAGCTTTAGTTTCAATCGAACTGAATTCGTTCCGATTGGTGAATCTGAATGTAAACGCTAAACAAGTGATCGGTTGATGTGCGTTTCAACATCGCTAAGAAAATCCCCGCTCCTCCGTGAGAGATACGAGACCGGTACGAGACCTTTTCTCAGTCTAGAAAGCTCAATAGATCCATGTTTTTGGACGATTTATTTGAGTGAATGATTCAATGACCCATTTGTAAAGCCGTTTCTGAATGAATCAATGAATCATTGAGACAGGAAATTGCAAACACCGACTGATCGTTTAAGAATCATATATAAACTATCTCTGTATTCAAAACGTTATTTTTTAAAACAAATATTATAGTATTACTTATGCAATTGTAATTGCAGTGTAGATGTATTTATGCCACCTCTGAGCAGTGTAAATACATTTTTTATTTATAACAAAATATGTTATGTTAATATGTTCAAATGTTCAATATTACAGCTTCTACGCCAAATATTAGTTTAATTTGATTTGTCAGCAGCACTATAACTTATTATTACTCTATTGAATTTATTGATTCATTGAAAGGTCTGATTGAATGCTATTACGCAAAAATTAAAGATGTGGAACAACATTTTTATTTTTGTACTAAATAGTTTTACTATAGACCTTATGTAGCCCCGCCCATTTTCAGCGTTGCGCTCGTTGTCTTTTGACTTCCGGTCTGTATTTCCACAGCGATCTTGGATAGGTATGAACGAACTGCTCGTGAAAAAAATTCCCGTTCGACATTTGTTAAGACATCTGCTTTACAATGCTTATGATAAACATTACAATGCTCATGATAACTTTTGTTAACTCTACAATAAGTAAATCCACTTCAACAGCTAATTGCTCCTCGACAGCGATGCCATAGAAATATACAGAACCGGAAGTTCAAAGACGATATTCTAAAGATGACGGCGCCAAAGTTTCTCTGGTGCATAAGGTCTATATTAAATCAAAATATGATTAAAAATGGAGAATCCATTCGATCGTGACCCTGAAGACTTACGCTCCATTTCCTGGCCCAAGTACGAGCACCAACGGTTCCTCATGTCTTCCACGGCCACCATGTCTTTCTCCTCCATCTCATCCACCAGCAGGAGAGGAATACAGGCCACAACCAGCTCGTTCATGATGCTCAGCCCCGCGTTCACCTCGGCCTCCTCGCCCGTCTCGAACAGGGCGGCTGCGTGCTCGTTCAACTTCTGCGGGACACGCAAGAAAATAAAATCAATAACCAGACAAAAACATCAGAGACTGACGTAAAAAGCTGCCACTGCAATTAAGCGCTCTCAAACTTCAGAAGCGGTGGCTACCCCTCTCGGCATTCTGCTGGAATTAGCAACTAGCGAGAATACGAAGAAGAAAAACATAAAAATAAATTGCAGTACATTAGTTATGTCAATGTTAGCAGTATTTCCAATTAAAGCGAGCAAAGGTAAACAGCACAGCTTGAGATGGAGTCAAGGCCTACACAGCACGAGCAAAAGGTAAAACAAGGACAGCGACGTGCTTCCCGCTAATGTGTTTACACACTGAGCGCAGTGTGCTTCCTATTCCAGGACTGATGATTATATTACGAGCACAATGGCCGTGCGGTGGGTCACCGGGTACGGCCGTACTAGACGGAGAGAAAACTTTTATTGCAGCTGATTTACAACAGCAACAAATAGAAGACTTTCAGCTTTTCCAAAAACGTCACCCTAATCGAAAGTTTGACAGGAGATGAAAACAGCATTTTGGACCTAAAATGTTTGCAAAACCACACGTAATGCACTCTAAACTGAAGAGCTAACCAGACTCTGGCGTTAGAAACAATCTTGACTGATCTGAGAGCAGTTTTTGATCCGGTTAGGAGGTGGTGGCTAATTCACTCACTAGCAGGCACTCTCTGCGGTAATGGGCGATCAGTTCTTCATCATGGCCTCTGTATGGGCCTTTCACCAGGAGCTCTTTGTTGTACTGGTAGGCGTAGATCAGGTACATCAACGCTTCCACGTAACTGCAGAAAAGAGTTCAAATCTTTACATCTCACAGAACTTATTTGCAACTAAAAATAAATAAATAAATAAATAAATAAATAAAAATTAGCATGTATCCGTTTAATTATTTATTTATTGCAAATGTATCATCTTATATATATATAAGATGATACATTTGCAATAAATAAATAATTAAACAGATACATGCTAAATGTTTCTTGAAGCAAGAGCTGTTTTCAAGCTAAAGTTAATAAAAGAGAATATGCTGCCATCTAGTGGAGATATTATATAAAAAAGCGTTTCAATTGTTTTCATAGACATGAAAAATAATGACTAAAGCATCACCTTTTCTTCAGGAATAATTCCAGGCCGATCAACAGGAACACTGTCGTCTCACGGAAATTCCTGTAATCCTGATGCCACATCTGTGTCCAAAATATGGGCATAAATAACATTATTTTAAAAAGAAAAAGTACACAAAAGTAGCAAAACATGCTAACTTTTTACTTCTCAATATCCCATTATTTGTCCAACGCTATCGCAAATCATTTAAAAAAATCTAATATATATATATATATATATATATGAAGAGTTCAGATGCAAAAGCCTCTAAGTGCCATTTGAAATTTTCTTCTAAAATTATCATTTTTATCAAGCTTTTATATTTAAGTTCAGTAATTTCACTTAAATGGCAATGAAGATTACCAATTAATTGCCATTTAAGTGAAATTACTGAACTTAAATACACAAGTTTGATAAAAATGGTCATTCTAGAACAAAATTTCAAATGGCACTTAGAGGCTTTTGCATCTGAACTCTTCATATATATATATATATCTGTGTGTGTGTGTGTGCATATTTATAAACATATATATATATATATATATTTTTATTATTATTATTATTATTTTTAATTGGCTATACCCCACAGGAAGCTAAATTGCAATTTTTAAGTTCAACAGTCACACAAAAGGCTTATAAAAGAGTTGTGCATTGAACTGAGGTTGTAAACAAAATGCAGAATGGTCACAGCATTCACAATTAAATTGCGAACCGAGCCCAACCCTGATCAAGAACCGTTTCCCTCACCTCGTACTCCTCCATGTTCACCTCGTCAGGCTTAATGAGTTCCAGTTTAGCACGCGCCACCTTCATGATGCTCTTACACCTGCAGGGAAGAACACGTTAGAGCTCAGGCGTGACTCACGACGCGCGTCCTCGGCCCATGAATCATACTTTATTACACACAACAAAATGGAAAGATAGCGTCGCATCTGGGGCCAGGCTCACATCAATCTAATTACCTCGCTCAAAATAGAGGAGAAAGAAATCAATTTGCTTATGAATATGGATCACGTTCCTCATCGGAGCGTGCAGTCTGCTCTGGAGACACACGAGACGGTGCAACGAGACAAAAGCCTTTGGGCGGCGCAGACAGAAAGCTGTTCGACAACACAATGATCAGAAACAGCAGCGACTGCTGTGACAGGCTGATAATCCCTCTCGGTGTCAGTCTGGGAGGCTTGAGATGGACCTGGCCTTTGGAATAGGGCTCCCGTCTCCTAAAATCAATCAGTTATCAGCGAGGCGGTTCTGTGTGTGGCTAACGCTCGTCGTTCATATGTCACTGTGATGCTCAACTAACTGTAGAATACACTCGCCGTATAAAGTGAAGATTCAAAGGGTGACAGCGAAACATTTGGAGGAAAACTTTTGTTTTAACACAAACTTTTGTTATTCTGTTCAATGTCTATTTTCACATCTTTTATTAAGTTGCTGTATTTTGAAACACATTTTAGAAAGATATTTTAGAAAAACGTGCATTCACTTAAAAAAAAAAAAGATTTTATTCATACCATTAATTCTACATGCCTAGAAATCCTATTTTAAAATTAGCTGATGTTTAGAGGCATTCCATGATGGGAACCATGTAAAATAAATACAACTGGGTAATACGGTGATGTGAATAAGTTTGGACACCCATGCTAAAGTTGCCTAAAAAGAGGAATAAAAAATCATCTTTTGGATATTGATCTTAATGCCTTAATTAGAAAAATGAGGAAAACTCAAATCTTTAAGGACACCAATTTTCTTTGTGAATGAATAATGTATCATTAATAAATAAATGTTTTTCCTTAAAATACAGGGTGCATGTTAACATGTTAAATTCCCATAGAGTCAGGCAGATTTTTATTTTTAAAAGCCAGTTATTTCATGGATCCAGGATAATATGCATCCTGATAAAGTTCCCTTGATTTTTAAAAAATAAAAATCTGCCTGACTCTATGGGAATTTAACATGTTAACATGCACCCTGTATTTTAAGGAAAAACATTTATTTATTTATGATACATTATTCATTCACAAAGAAAATGTGTGTCCTTAAAGGTTGGAGTTTTCCTCATTTTTCTAATTAAGGCATTAAGATCAATATCCAAAAGATGATTTTTTTATCCCTCTTTTTAGGCAACTTTAGCATGGGTGTCCAAACTTATTCACATCACTGTATACATTTTATTTTAAAATCCAATGATATTCATTTACAAGTATCTTGAATCTTTCCCCGCCATGTTACGCATCGTCTAAAGCAGAAGCAAGTGTAGAAACACTACTTTATGCACATGTAAAATAGGGATGTGACGGTGAGGATATTTTCTCACCGGTTAATCGACGGGGGCTTTTAAATTGCCAATTTAAAGGCAAACGTAAAATGTGTGCGTTTTCATGGGCATGAATTTGGCATTCATAACGGTGCGGTAGTGCCCTGAATATGTGCTAGTTTGAAAATTAAACAAAATTTCCCTTTTAAATTAGCGCCAATTCATCCTTCGCTTGGATTTTGATTGACAGACATGTGATCTGACCAATCAAAATCCACCATTTTCGTCCGACAGAGCAGTCAGGAGATTAACGTTGGTGGCAGGGCCGACTCCTGTACCTCTCATCAAAGCCGAGGTTTCTGTCGGCGAACTGCATCAGCAGAGTCCTCTCCAGGATCTTCTTGGGCGCCTGGTTGTGTATGAAGTAAACAATGACGTGTTGCAGCCGGTAGTCCCTCTCAGGGGGCGTGTCCTCCTGAGCGAACCGCAGTAAACGAGTGTACTCCACTTTCATCGCCTGTTACACAGGGAAAGAAATAACGAGAGTTAGAGATAGATGGCATCTTTATTTAATCGAAAGGGTCAAAACAAGAAAATAACCATCTAGAAAAGAAGATAACAAAAACAGCGACTGTAGAAATGGCAGTGAAAATAGACAGCGAAGACGCAAAACAACACAGATCTCACAATAAAACAACTCACGATCTTAAATGATTTACTGGAATCGTCAGAGATTTTAATAGCACTCACTTTATTTGGCTATGTTGTGTGTGAAGTACACAATAATGCATTGTCTAAGATGACAAAACTCTTGCAGCAGATGGTGACAGTACTGCAGAACCTCATAGCATAACGCAATGACATGAGAGTTAGCATTTAACTCATTTAAGTGTAAGCGAAGTTGCTACATTTATAATAAAATAAATAATAAATCTTATAACAAATATTTGAATTATTAAAGGGGCTATATGTACGAAATTTAATATGTCAATCACTTTTTATTGCAAATGTGTGAACAGCTTACTTATTAAACGAGACCTTCCCCGACTCCTTGGTTGTCTATGAAAACATGTGGACTTATTTTTATATGAAAGATTTCTGACTTTTTGCCGAGAGGATGTGACGTTTACTGCAGTTCACTTAACAGCCACCGGGTGTCACTAATACACTCTACATATAGCCCCTTTAAATAATACAAGCAAATTTCTGTAAATATTTAAAATGATTTAGTGTGAAATATTTTAATTCTAATTATTGATTACAAATTAATTGCCACCCCCCCCCCCCGAAAAAAACAACAAATTATTAAATTATTAATAAATTACTATTTTGTGTTTTTAACTTAAACAGAACAGTATGCTTATCACCAGGATTAAATAAATTAATTACGAATAATTGACATGGAATTATACATTGACGGTGTTATTTCATCAGTATCGATACCAAAGAACCAAACCTCATCAGCAAACCTACACACACCTATAAAGAACCTCATTTGCATATTAAAACAGGATGCCGACCAATGTAAAAAGGGAGCTCACAGAGATAACAATGAGATGCTCAGGGAGAGGGGGTGTGGTCAGAGCTAATGAGATGCACAGGGGGTGTGGCATGCAGCAGGTCATGTACCTTGAAGAACGCTGCTTCAGGCCCACACTTGTCATAAACACTCCTGGATTTGCCAATGGCCATTATGATACCCTGCATGTTTGGGGTCATCATCGCCTGCCCAAGGAGGGAAGGTTATTACTACACCGGCCACGCCTCCAAAACTCTCATTGGGCAGTCCGCATGCCAATCACAACACAGCTCAGCCACCAGCGAATGAACTCAAGTCAACCCATTGAAGAAAATGAATCAGCTTAGTACAAAAAAGCTAATTCGATATCATGCCCAGAGCATTTTAGGATGATTAAACATTCAAAACAAGATCATCATGCAGGTGTCTTTTGCTTCTTTAAATCAGATGTTAAATAAAAATAAACAGCACAATGATCCGAAGCTTGTGCTACATGCTTCACAAAGAAACGAAATCAGGCAAAATGAAAGGATATTCAATTTGGTAACATTTTTAAAGGAGGCAGCATTAGTTGTATGGAAGTAGATTGCAAATAATAGTAATCTGAAATGGGTTTGGCAAGCCAGAGCAGGTTGTGAAAGGGATGCTGGGATTGTTCGGGCAGCACTCTCATGACCAAATGCCTCCAAGAACTCTACCTCATCATCATAACCTCCCTCCTTCGACTGAATGACAAAGGTTCCTACATTAGGAATGGCCACCTCTACCACCCGCTGAGGCGCGGGCGGAGAGGAGGCGGGGTCGTCCTGCTCAGGGTCAGAGGTCACCGCGCTCTCGGGATGAGACGACTGAGACAAAGAGAGACAGAGAGGAAAAAGCAGCTCGCCGCCAAAAGAATGTGGTTTACGACCTATACTGCAGCCAACCACCAGGGGGAGTATTACATGATTTGGCTTCACTTTTCAGGACGTGTGCGGCACACTAGTGTCACCAAACAGTTTCGCTTGTTCACGGAAATCATTTAATCTTTAGTAGTTTTAACACTGGAGAACAACAGAAGCGATGATCAAACTACGGCTGTGTGTCTCATTTCAAATGCCTTACACAGATCACGTGTCATTTGGGTCTCAATTCAGAAAAGTAACCATTACATTCAAAAGTAAGGAAGAAAGTACAGTAATTTACACCTCATTAACTTTATTAATCCTCAATTTAACTGAAATGAGACGTGCGCTGTGGCAAAGCCTTCGAAATGAGACAGTATCTGCTGATGTGAAAGTACTTGAGCATAGAAAATAATTACACATTCAGATGGAAAGAATCACATTCATAAACCAAAGCGTGAACGCAACACAACATGGAGAGAGCTTTTTTTTTGGGATATTTGAGTGATCAGAGCTAGAGCTTGACCGATAAAAGATTTTGAAGGCCGATACCGATACAAATATTTTTGGGTTTTAAAATCCGATATTATTTTTTTTATTAAATACTGCTGGATTTCACACACGTGTAAAAGAAAAGCTAACTTTTCTGCACAAGATACGTTTGATACTTTTTCTCCATGTCTAAATGTTCACTCCTCGCAAGTATAACTTACATTTTACAATGCAGGGACTGTAACTAGAGATATGCTCGTTATAAATACAGTAATCATTACTTTATTTAGGCAGAAAAAGTTCATTGCGGTTTCCAAGCTCATTAATGTTAACGTTAGCGGTCTTCCACTGATGATAGTGGCGTTAGCTATAGCTTTGTGGTTATCTAGTCTATGATGAGCCATAATTTAGCAATGGATAACATCATACTGCAAATTGTAAAACATCCATTTTCAATATAACAGGCCAATGAGAGATGATTGAAGCGTGTTTCGTCCGTTTTTATTTTATTTTTTAAATATTTATTTATCGGCCATTATGACTGCCGATACCGATATTATGGAAAATGCCTAATATCGGCCGATAATATCGGTCTGGCTCTAATCAGAGCCAAATACCCAAAGTCCAACATCTTCATAAGACACAACTAGCATGAGATGATAACTAACACATACTTCACATCGTGAAAACTAAACCCACTCAATCTAGACCTACTGCCATGACTCCACATGAACTTTTGCCCTACATTCAACTACAAAAGAGCCCTTTCTAAACACACCCTTCTGGACCCAGGACCCAGATCTGGTTCACCGTGTGTTTGTGTGCGTGTCTTACTGTGTTGAGCAGGGCCTCTGGACTCTTCTCATCGAGCTCGGCGGCGGCTTTGCTGATGGCTCTCTGCGTGTCCTCCTGCAGGTGTTTGGAGTCTCCGGTGGGCGACTGCTGCTCCATGTACTCGGGGTCCGGCTGAGGAGCTGTTGAGGAAGCAGAGCATGAGCTTCCTTGAGTTAAAGGAGTAGTTCACTTTTACTCACCCCCATGTCATCCAAGATGTCCATGTCTTTCTTTCTTCAGTCGAAAAGATGAAAACATTCCAGGATTTTCTCCACTTAATGGACTTCAATGGGGTCCAAACGGTTCGAGGTCCAAAAGAGAGTTTCAGTGCAAACTGTTCAAAGGGCTTTAAACGATTCCAGACGATGAACAAGGGTCTTATCAAGCGAAACGATCGCTCGTTTTATAAATAAATAACAAAGTTTAAGTTTTATAAGCTCAAATGGTCATCTTGCTCTGTTCTGATTCATGAACCTTTTTTGAGTCATTTGGTTATTTCAACGAACGAACAAAATGAACGAATTGACTTGGAAAAAGATTTGTTCATTTTGATGAACGAGTTCGAACAGGAGAGTCACGAACGCGCATCACAGAACAGAGCAAGGCGAGCATTTGCGCGTATAAACGTAAACTTTTTTTTTTTTTTAAATAAGCGATCATTTCGCTTGATAAGACCCTTATTCATCGTCTGGAATCGTTTAAAATCCCTTTGAACAGTTTGCAGTTTGTACTGAAACTGTGTTTTGGACCTTGAACCGTTTGGACCCCATTGAAGTCCATTATATGGAGAAAAATCCTGGAATGTTTTCATCAAAAACCTTAATTTCTTTTCGACTGAAGAAAGAAAGACACGCACATCTTGGATGACATGGGGGTGAGTAAATTATCAGCAAAAGCTTTTTGAAAAGTGAACTACTCCTTTAAAGACGGTCGTCTCGGACAATACGTACACAGACTCGGCTCATCGGTGTTGTCTGGAGGGCAGGGTTCAGTGCTCATGGGCTGGGCGGCCACACTGGCGGCGGCGGCGGCAGCGAGAGCCAGTTTCTCCTGCTGGAGTTTGCGGACCTGTAGAGCGTCCCACTCCTCCATCTCCTTCTCAAAGAGCTTGTTATCCCCCTCAACATACTCCTTTAGATCAGGAGGGAGCTTGTCCAAGCCGCTGAGCATCTGCCCTGTCTCTTTATCAAACTCCTCTGAGATACACACAAGCAGACAGTCAGAGAACATATGTTACCTGCTGTTTTTTTAACAAAGTAAATCACAATTACAACAGACTATTTGAAACTGATCCCAACACATTTTCTTTTCTAAAAAACAAAACAAAAAACATTTTTTTGTTTGAACACACCCTAAATGGGATGTTTTGCCACATTTAGCAAACTTCTGGGGACAATTTTGTACCCAAACTAAACAAATTATGGAGGACTTGTTGTGCCACTTAAAAATAAGGATCAATATACTAAATAGAAAATAAAATTGTAAATAAAAGAATGTGACTGGTAATGTAAATACTCCTCAAACTGGCAAATAAATACACACACTTTAAAGGGATAGTTCATTTTGAAATAAAATTTTGATATGTTTTAGTTTCCCTCAAGGGCATCTAATATATTCCACAGTAGTTTCAACTTTGATATTTCAGGTCAAACCATTCTTGTCTATCAGTCATATAATGCAGGTCTATGGTCACCACCTCAAAGAGCATGCACAACCGCTCGTTTCGTGTCTTAGGCCATCAATGTGTACTTACATTTACGAGTCATTAAATCATGTTTAATTTGGACTTCTCTGTGCATGCTCTTTGAGGTGGTGACCATAGACCTCCATTATATGACTGATAGATAAGAACGGTTTGACCTAAAAATATCAAAATTGAAACTACTGCGGAAACAAAGACACCTACATCTTGGATGCCCTTGAGGGAAGATAAAACATACTAAAAATGTATTTCATATAAGTGAACTATCCCTTAAAGGTGTTCAATGTAGTCACATGTGATAAAAATAATAAATGAACTATTTCATGTTTAAAATTTGAGATGCAACAATGAAATAATACACTGATAAGACATTTTGTGGTTTAAATTCGACTTTAAAAAAGAAAGAAAAAAATGCAAGCTTATCTAAACTAAGTAAACTGTCAAATGTTTTTTTTTTTAAATAATGGCATTGGACATTCGTCAATAAATGATTCTTATTTACGTTATTAATGTTACTTATTTATTGCATATTTCACTTTTGATCAGTGCTGAGATTTGATTCCTTTATTATTATTATGTTTTTAATTTAAATATTAATTAAATAATTAGGTTTAAATGGCATTTGCAAAAGTATGTATGTATATGAAGAGTTCAGATGCAAAAGCCTCTAAATGCCATTTGAAATTTTCTTCTTTAATGATGATTTTTATCAAACTTGTATATTTAAGTTCAGTAATTTCACTTAAATAACAATTAATAGGTAATTATCATTGCCATTTAAGTGAAATTACTGAACTTAAATATACAAGCTTGATAAAAATCATCATTCAAGAAGAAAATTTCAAATGGCATTTAGAGGCTTTTGCATCTGAACTCTTCATATATATATATATATATATATATATATATATTATTATTAATAAATTGATAATTGATCCCTTAATTATATCTTTAAATGTCAAATAAACACTTTTAGATTTTACTATTTGCTTCATTGGCTGCGTTGCCTAGGCGAATAAAAAATGAGCACATGCAGATGAGGTTACCTTCAATAAGGAAGGGTTTTTTATCATCAATATACATGAGGCAGTACGCGCTGGCATTGCGATATCCGCCGAACGAGTCTCGCACCAGCTCCTCCCAGGACGACTTTGTCACTGAAATGTCATTGTATTTCATCCACTGTCGGTGATGTGGGTCATAGATGTACGCCCAGTAGTGCCCTGCGTTTGCCTGACCCTCGTGGACCAAAACGGCATGCAGCCGGTACGGCACCTAAAACACAGCATCAATAGATAGAAAACTGGATAGAAAACTGGACTATAGGAGATCTCAAAAAGCTTCTTACCTGCATCATGGACTTGTCAGAATACATAAGCTCGATGGTTCTGTGGATTCTGGATATACTGGCCTGCAGATCTGGCAGAAACATGCACATTTATAAAAGCCCAAAAGCAACAGGACATCAGTATGAGCACATGTTTGCCTGCTTGTACCTCTGGTGTCATTCTCCACCTCGCTCCTCCAGCGGTGCAGACAGCCCTCCAGCACCCGCAGCTCCTCGTCTGTGATGTTTCGTGGGGCGGGGTGCATGGGGAGATCCGGCGGCACGCGAGACTGAGTGAATGGTTTATGGATGGAGACCCTTTGCTGCTGAGCCTGCAGACCAGAGCTGGAGCCCTCGGGTGAGACGGACGCGTCCGGCTGATCCCCTGCACTGAAGTCCAAGCAGAAAACACTTCAATATCTCAGAACTATACTAAATATTATTTTCCTCTTGGAATGGTTGGAAAAAAAAAACTTGCCTTGCTGGAGGTGGCAGCTGTGCAGTCATGCCACCAGGTGGTGCTGTTGTATCAATGTCTTCCACAGGTGACGCGCACACAGGCTTGCTGGACGCAAACTCCATGGCGTACTGGAGAACGTCGGCCAGAGGAAACCGCTTGGGCCCTGAGCCATAGCTCAGATACCTGTCACACAGAATGTTTTGGGGGGGGAAAACGTGTTGATTGTCGATAGACGGCAGCAGAAATATTAACCCTTGTGCATCAATTAAAAAAAGTTACACATAGGTAAAAAGAGGACAAAAATGTCCATGTCATAAAAATGTGACGCTTCGGAGCACAGACTTAAGTTTGGTATCATTTTAAAGAAGACCCTTTGCAGATTATTGCTGAAGTAAAAAAAATAATAATAAGTAAATCCAAAAAAAAAAGTTATATAGGTATAAGTTTATGAAAATTATTTATAAAAAATATTTTACATAAAATATATATTTTATAAATCAGGTTGAACTCAAAACTGCAATAAAATCAAAGCCATAAAGCTAAATAGGTTGTGTTCCAAATTTGAGGATGATATCTCAAAAAATGAGCTTTCGGTAACAGTTTGTTTGGGCGTAGTAACATATTTTCCCCATTGGGTGGCAGCAAAACCCCACTGGAGCTCACAGTGATTGGATTTGAGTTTGCAGTTTTTCTCTCTCGGTATTACAAACACACACTTATTTTTTTATGACACACATACTAACCACACTCTGACATCCATACCAACACACCCACACAAATATCGTTGCATTATTTATCCAGTCGGCTCTATAATATGCCGAAGCAGAAAACAGGAATAAAGCGATATTTGTTTTATAGGCCAAACTTAAAAAAAAAATGACACCATCATCTGATAAAAAAAATTGTAAAAAATACAATTTTGAAGCCTTGCCATCAGAATAAAAGCCTCTTAACAAAGATTGCATAATTCTATAGTTAACTGAACCGGGGATTAAAAAATTGCAGTTTTAATGGGTTTCAATGGGGACTTTTTTGTCCAAAAGGTGCTGAGAGGGAGTATTTTTTGTACCTAATGCAAAGAAAATGACTGTGAAATAGTAAAATTTTAATAAAAATACACACCTGTGCCAAGTTTTTTGCCGTTAGCTTTAACACAGGCAAAGTGATCAAAAAAACAAAACTGAAAAGGACAAAAATGTCCATAAGGATGCACAAGGGTTAAAAAAGAAAGTCAGTCGGTCTCCTCGTACTCATTCTCCAGGCAAATTACAGTCAAACCTCAGCACGTGACTTTAATCTGTCCATTAACAGCATCTTTCATGTTGAAGTTAACAGCAGGTTAGCTCTAGATCTGAGCAGAGGTTAAATAGATTAACAAACCTCTCCAGTCGCTGCTGGAGGACGGTCAGGTGCTCTTTTAGTCTTCTGATCTCCTCTCGTTTTATCCGCGTGATGTCTCTGTTCCTGTCCATGTACCTGAAATCAATCGCATCACTGAATTCCCTGAAAACTGGAAGTCATTTTCGTTTTGGTTGTACATTATAATACTATGCAATTGCTTCTTTATGAGATGATGTGGCACCAAGAAACAACTTCATCAAAACACTGATTTTTAAGATTACAATGATGTCATTGATATTGTTTCGACTCTGACTAGGCAACAGTGAAGGTCAATGAGAAATTTTACAATATACATTAAAAAAAAAAACAAAAAAACTAGGCTACTACTAAATGAAAAGTTCTTAAAATGAATATTATGAAACTAGATAAAAACGTTTGTGACCAGAAAGTTAATAGGTTTTCAGTTTGAAGTACAGTAGTCAACATTTTAAGACAAGATCGGGTAGTGTTCAATATTCAATCAGAAAGAAAATGGCACTAACCTGTCCATGTACAGCATGGAGGGAAACTCCAGCTTGTTGTGAATCTTTTCAGGTCGGCCTAAGGCTTGATTAAACTCGAACCTCGACAGTTCAAAGGTCAAAACTGGTGGGAGTTCTGTGAACCAGTGCTGGAAAAAGAAAAAAAAAATACAAAAACTAAAGTCAAACTTCTAATTTGCCAATAATGGTCAAGTGAGAGAAACATAAGAGAAAAATGGCTTTAAAGTCTTTAAATTAAATTTGATTGATTTGATCAAAAATCTGTCTGTAGTCGTTCTTAAAGGAGTAGTTCACTTTTGAAAAAACTTTTGCTGATAATTTACGCACCCCCATGTCATTCAAGATGTCCTTCAGTCGAAAAGAAATTAAGGTTTTTGATGAAAACATTCCAGGATTTTCTCCATATAATGGACTTCAATGGGGACCAAACGGTTCCAGGTCCAAAAGACACTTTCAGTACAAACTGTTCAAAGGGCTTTAAACGATTATAGACGATGAATAAGGGTCTTATCTAGTCAAACGATCGCTCATTTAATAAATAAAGTTTTATAGGCTCAAATGTTTGCCTTGCTCGTGACTCTCCTGTTCGAACTCGTTCATTTCCGAGTCAATTCGTTCGTTGAATGAACCAAATGACTCGGAATAAATAAAAAAATAAAAAAGATTCGTTCATTTTGATAAACGAGTTCGAACAGGAGAGTCATGAACGCGCATCACAGAACAGAGCAAGGCGAGCATTTGACCTTATAAAACTTAAACTTTGTTATTTATTTATTAAATGAGCGATCGTTCCGCTTGATAAGACCCTTATTCATCGTCTGGTGTCGTTTAAAGCCCTTTGAACAGTTTGCAGTTTGTACTGAAACTGTGTTTTGGACCTTGAACCGTTTGGTCCCCATTGAAGTCCATTATATGGAGAAAATCCTGGAATGTTTTCATCAAAAACCTTAATTTCTTTTCGACCGAAGGACATCTTGGATGACATGGGGGCGAGTAAATTATCAGTAAATTATCAAAATAAATACAATTATTTTAATTTATTGTTTTTATTTTGTTTTTAATGTTTTATCATTCCTGTGACTGTTTTTCTGTTGACTTATCTGTCCAAAAAAAAAAAAGTGAACTACTCCTTTAACCCCATCATGCTCCATATAACCCATCCCAGCTCCGCCCCCCCGCTGACAGCTGGAATGAGCACGGCGGCCGGATCACACACTGACAGACACACAGTGTGCTGGACTTTCATTCACAGCCCAGAATAATGTACACCAGAGAATCTCCTTCTTGATTTGCACTCAGCTGAAGTCATTAGCAGAAGCAGCTGAAGGGTGACACTGAGGACTGAAAAGCCATTATGTAACATCTCGGTCAGAGGTCACATGTTATGGTTTTTTCTTTCACCTCAAAGATCGTGATTGGACGGCCAAAAGGAGGAATACGAGGACAGTTTTATCTACAAACCTCCTGTCCTGATTTGGCGGAGTTCTCCGCAGAATGCAAAGACTCGATCTCTCCTTCGATCATGGCTGCCTCCAAACACTCGTGCAGATCTTTGAAGCCGTTCACCTGGAGAGGGTACTGCCCAAACATCTCCGTGTTCTCAAATTTCTTTCCTGTGAACACACACACACACACTCACATCATTGACTTTAAATAGTCTCTGTAACGTGATGATAAAAAAAAAATGATATATATTTTTTGAAAGAATTATGCTTCCAAAGACTGCATTTATGCGATTAAAAAACTATACTATTACAATTTAAAATAACTGTTTTCTATTTCCATATTTTCAGCATCATTACTCCAGTCTTCAGTGTCACATGATCCTTCAGAAATCATTCTAATATGCTGATTTGGTGCTCGAGAAACATTTATTATCATCAATGTTGACAACAATCTTGTTCAGTTCAACACTTAATCTTTATGTGAAAATTGTGATTGAAAATTGTGACTTTTTTCAAATTTCTTTGATGAATAGAAAGCTCAAATGAACAGCATTAATTTGAAATAAAAATATTTTGTAACATTATACATGTCTTCACTGTCAATTTTGATCAATTTAACACATCCTTGCAGACAAGTATTAATTTCTTTAATATATGAAGAGTTCAGATGCAAAAGCCTCTAAATGCCATTTGAAATTTTCTTCTTTAATGATGATTTTTATCAAACTTGTATATTTAAGTTCAGTGATTTCACTTAAATAACAATTAATAGGTAATTATCATTGCCATTTAAGTGAAATCACTGAACTTAAATATACAAGCTTGATAAAAATGACCATTCTAGAAGAAAATTTCAAATGGCACTTAGAGGCTTTTGCAACTGAACTCTTCATATATATATATATATATATATATATATAAAAGAAATCCCAAACTTTTGATTGGTAGTGTACTTATTAATTGACTTAATCTAATTAGAAATAGGGCTGTCAAACAATTAATCGCATCAAAAATAAAAGTTTGTTTACATAATATATGTGGGTGGACTGTGTATAATTATTTTAGATATATAAAAACACACATTCTATATATTTAAGAAATATTTTCATGGATATAGATTTTTATATTATTTATATTATATATAAATATAAATATTTTATATATAAATAATATTTTTTCTTTTACTTATATGTGTAAGTATTTACATATATATATATTTATATATGAAGAGTTCAGATGCAAAAGCCTCTAAGTGCCATTTGAAATTTTCTTCTAGAATGATCATTTTTATCAAGCTTGTATATTTAAGTTCAGTAATTTCAGTTAAATTGCAATGAGGATTACCTATTAATTGTTATTTAAGTGAAATTACTGAACTTGAATATATAAGCTTGATAAAAATGATCATTTTAGAAGAAAATTTCAAATAAAATAATTATACACAGTGCACCCACATATATTATGTAAACACAAACTTTTATTTTGGATGCGAGTAATCGTTTGACAGCCCTAATTGAAAATACTAAACACTCATCCTAAAATTAAACATTTTTAAATAAGAAACCAGACATTTTTGTGAGGTTTTACTAGATTTACAGGATTAATTTGCTACTCAAATTGAGCTAAACAATTTAAGAAGGTAAAAAGGTCACCTAATAACCAGTGCCGTCATGTTTAATAAGCCCAGCACCACTCACACATCGATGACCGTCACATCGTGGGTTGACAACACAAGGTCACTTTTATTATCTATGCTAGGGGACTCATACATGCGATGGATACTCACCCTCCAGGACGCCCACAGCCAGGAAACGTCCATAAAAAAGCTCAACCATCGGGTTCTTCGGCTTCTCTCCCTCCCTGTGTAGAACAAGAGCAAACAGAGTCGCATGGGGCTGGAAATGTTCGGGACTCGAGGAGTCCGTGTCCTTTGGCTGCAGGAATCACACGAGGACTGCATTCAGCAGGTATTTAACAGTGCTAATTGAAGTCATACAGGTTAATGTACCACATTAATCATCATTAACGCCTGTTCCAGCTGAATCATGAGTCATGTGGTCATTCATCATTCTGAATGATATGAGAGAGAAACACAGAAGGGTTGAAGATGTTCTGCTAGGATGTACAGAACCTCACCTGTCCTCCTCGGCCTTTATCTGAAACGCGTCCTCCAGCCAGTCCAAGAGTTTATGGGTGAACTCGCTCACATCCTGCTGTACAAACACACAAACCAACTCAAATCATGAACAAATGTATTTGTGGTTTAACTGCTCTCAATTGCTCTGTGCCAAAAATGCACCATATTAATCAAAAGGTCAGGCTTAGAGGCTATAAAACAGATCGACCCATGGCACAAACATTCAGAGCTCTATAAATAGGCCCCTATTGTTGTAGCATCTTGTTCTTTTTGATTCTTGTTTAATAAATGTTGCAATTTTATGATTTGAACCCATTTGCTGAACCTTAGGCTGTTTTTGCTACTGTATCTGTAAGAATATACTGTATAAGCTCTGTTATGACTAGCTAAGCAATATAATTAATGATGCGCCAGTCAAATATGCCAGAATATGCATTAATATGTAAATGTGGGCGCCATATGCTAACATGTTAATTGTATTGAAGTACTGTGATAATTTGCAGCCTTCAATCGACCCCAATCGACTTTTACTTAATAAATAAAAGGTTCCCTTCATCTCAGTGGAATACGATTTTGTGACTTTTCATACATTATCTATATATGAAGAGTTCAGATGCAAAAGCCTCTAAATGCCATTTGAAATTTTCTTCTTTAATGATGATTTTTATCAAACTTGTATATTTACAAACTTGACTTCTGGGTCAATATGACCCCACAATGAAATGAATGGGAAATGTGAAAAAACTAAATATATTTTCTTCATGCGTCAAAAAAAAAAAAGCATAAATCTGAACATTTTTACACAGAAATGAAGGCCTAGTACTAGAGCATAAATGCAATGTATCATAATAAAAAAATTTAACATATGCAAGCTAATGATGTAGTTGATGTATTGTGTGCAATATGGATACAAAAGTACTTTATATCTCCAAAAACACAGCATTAATGAATAGATGAGAGGTAAACAAAAAAAATGATATATTATTTGTATGATTAAAAATGTATATTTTTTGTACAATCAATTGTTTGGGTCATATACACCCCGAAGCCCAGAAGTGTAAACAGGAAACAAAGAGCATTTGAAGGTTAAAATGATTACATTTTATTGTACACTTCCATTCAAAAGTTTAAATGAATGAATTCTTATTTTTCAAAATATTTCTGCTGTTCTTTTGAAATTTCTATTCATAAAAAAAATGTATCAGTTTCCACAAAATATTAAGCAGCACTGATAATAATCACGTTTCATCAGCATATTAGAACGATTTCTGAAGGATCATGTGACTGATGACTGGAGTAATGATGCTGAGAAATGCAGCACAAGAATACAATACATTTTCAAATATATTTAAATAGAATACAGCTACTTTAAATTGTAATAACATTTCCACTGAACTTTTGATCAAATAAATGCGGTCTTCTTAAAAGCATGACTGAGCCCATTCTGAATGTTAGAGTACGTCTTCAGTGCCTTACCTGCTGAGACTCGCTGGACTTGAAGGCGTCCTTGAGGATCTCCACGGCTCGGGACGGGTCCACATACTTCCGCTTGGATCCCACCAGTAAGGAGAAGAGGTGCCTCAGCTCCTGCATGAAGGGCAGGTTCCTGTGCTCCTGTGGGAACGCAAATGGAGACCAAAAAACTCTTGAATGCACACAAGTGTTCCCGCAGCTCAAACAGCAGAGCATGGCACTAACAATGCCAAGGTCATGGGTTTGGACTTCCAATGAATACAATACTGATTAAATGTCTGCCAAACGCATAAAAATGTAAAAGCAGGGCCACACGCCAGTTGGCCAGAAACATTTTTATTAGAACAAACACTCGGGACAGTTTTAGGGCCAGTGCTGCATCATCGTCAAAAAAGTCTAAGCCTTGAGATTTTTAATGTTCAAGAGCAAGTGGAAAGTTTTCACATCCGAATAATGAACGGCTCTTTCACATTTTCTTGAGCTAGAGTGAACAAATTCATTTAAAATTATATTTAAAAATGAGAATTGTAGTAAACAGTCGGTTATGCCAATAAATGCATTAGATCAGTGCGTTCACTCTTAAAGTGACAGCAGCCTAATATTAATGGTTTGTTTTTACTGGAAATTAATCACTGCTTTCGACTGAATAAGCTTTAGAACTTTAATAAGCATGCTTAATTTATACAGTGAAGACTATGCTTACTTTATTACATTTTTGTACCTAAAACCAACGGTTAGATCTACCTGAAAAGCACGGTTTATTATTTGTTTCTGTTATATATTTATTTGTGCTTTTACTTGTAATTTGATTATTCGTTTTTTTATTACTGTTTGTAAAACGGTTTACTTGTCTTTAATGATGTTTCAAATTGATATTAGTTAGGCTAGTAGTTTTAGCTGTGATCATGAAATTGGAATAGAGGATTGTGAATTTTCACTGGCATCTAAACGTTTTGTAGCCGTTAAAACACACATTTATGGCCGGTACATTTCAAAGTTAGTTTTCTGATGTGTGATGTGGTATGATGTTGAGAGAATTTGAATGATGAGAGTTGATTAGTTGGGTCTGTCTGCAATCGGTTAAGGAGATCTTTGCCTCACAAACATCTCAAAGCCCCACAGGGGTCAGAAACCTTCTTCACCGGTCCGGATCACATCATCGGGATTAAATAATAATAGATTAAAGTCTAGAAGGAGCTTCTCCACTGACCCAGCAGACGAAAAGTAAAGGAATGAATCCAGGGCTCTGTGGTCTTCTGTCAGTGGATGAGGTTAAAGGGTTCGTTCACCCAAAATGAAAATTCTGTCAGTATTTACTCACCCTCATGTTGTTCCAACCCCGTAAGACCTTCGTTCATCTTCGCAACACAAATTAAGATATTTAAGATATTAAGATCGCTCCTGCATACTAGTCCATAGGCTTCTTGAGGGAATGACTCGAAAAGTCATTAAAGACATCGTTAAAATAGTCCAAGTGACTACAGTGGCTCAATCTTAACTTCATCAAACGACGAGAACACTTTTGTGCGCAAAAAACAACAACAAAAATAACGACTTTATTTCAACTATTGGTTTTTTTCTCCCTCTGCTCGAGTCAGGTTACTAGTTTAATAGCGTAAGCTTCTGTTATTGTACGTCACACGCATCACACACATGACCAGCGTCGGCCAATAGTGAGCCTACGTGTGACATGGCTTTACGCAATCACACTACGCTAACTGACTACAGGCCCATGGAGAAGGAAGTGAATAGTTGAAATAAAGTCGTTATTTTTGTTGTTTTTTTTGCGCACAAAAAGTGTTCTCGTCGTTTGATAAAGTTAAGATTGAGCCCCTGTAGTCACTTGGACTATTTTAACGATGTCTTTAATGACTTTGAGGACAGCAAGAGTCATTCCCTCAAGAAGCCTATGGAGCGATCTTAATATCTTAAATATCTTAATTTGTGTTGTGAAGATGAACGAAGGTCTTACGGGCTTGGAACAACATGAGGGGTGAGTAAATACTGACAGAATTTTCATTTTTGGCTGAACTAACCCTTTAAGCTCAGATCTGCTGACCCCGAGACAGAAATCACAAAGACACTGTCCACGACTTCTTCCACCTAAAAACACAGTCTGGAGGAGCTGCTAGAACACAGGGACCTTGATAAAGCCCACCTCCTCTGGTCAGATCACTGCTCGTAACGGCACAGCATGCAACTGTGCTTTCAGACCAGGTCAAGCAAGGTCACAGTGTCTCGGTGAGAAATGGAAGCTCTTATGGCAAGCGAGTCGTTGTTAACCACGGTGGACATGGGTATCGGGCGGCAATCTCACCTTCTGATTGCGGGGCAAGTCCTGCATCCGTGCAGGGGGCGAATAATGCAACACCAGCCTCTGGAACTCCAGCAGGTTAAAAAGAGACTGGAAAATACAGATTACAGAAAAAAAAGGGTTTGAGAACAGCACTGAATGTCAACACAACCTTGTGATGATGATACGTTAGACATGTTTCTCAGTATGATAGTGTGAATGACTGATGTCTTGTTTTTGGTGACAGATTCACAGATTCACAATCTCCTCGTCCAGATCTATAAACGCACAGAGCTGTGAGCGCCAGAGCGGCGTCGGGTTACACACAGGAGGTAAACAGCATGTGACAGTACTCCGCCAACATTACTCAGCTCTCTACACGGTTCATGTTCTGACATCGCCAACACACACACACACAATCAGGCCTCTGGAGGACCTGAAGTCACATTCAAAGCCCATAAACTTCCAATTTCAATTCACTTTTTAACTTCTTTTCCAACATTTAAAAATCATTTAGTTCAACATCTTCAGAATACATGTAATTGCTTTTGATTAGTATTATCGGTATTTTATTTTCTTATATTTATTTCTCACTGTAACTTATTTTTTGGCATGGTACATATGTATGTGTATGTATATGTGTATTTATATGTATATGTATATTTATATATATTTTTTGTCTGTATACGAGTTTACTTGTGTTTTAATGTTGTCTTGGTACAAATGATATGGTTTACTCTGTTTAGGGAGGAATGCGTCACCTTTTGGGAGTCTTGTATGAATGAATGTCTTGTTTGTATGGTTTTGGTTTATAAATTTAGCTATATAGTACTACTGTAAAAGCATGTTGTTTTTTTTTCTTGTGTATTTGTTATGTTAATTTCCAGCTGCTGTAAGGTCAATTTTTTAATTGAATCTTGAATCGAGGACCCCCTCGAAAACGAGATGGCTCATCTCAAGGGGCTATTCCTCTTTAATAAATAAATGTCAAACACATATACGCACAGAAATGAGTGCTGTGTTGCTTGGTAATATAAATAGTCTACAGTTAGGCAATATTAAAGGAGTAGTTCACTTTTGAAAAAACTTTTGCTGATAATTTACTCACCCCCATGTCATCCAAGATGTCCATGTCTTTCTTTGTTCAGTCGAAAAGAAATTAAGGTTTTTGATGAAAACATTCAAGCATTTTTCTCCATATAATGGACTTCAATGGGGACCAAACGGTTCAAGGTCCAAAAGACAGTTTCAGTGCAGCTTCAAAGGGCTTTAAACGATTCCAGATGATGAATAAGGGTCTTATCAAGCGAAACGATCGCTCATTTAATAAATAAATAACAAAGTTTAAGTTTTATAAGCTCAAATGCTCGCCTTGCTCTGTTCTGTGACGCGCGTTTGTGACTCTCCTGTGCAAACTCGTTCATCAAAATGAACAAATCTTTTTTCGTGTCATTTGGTTCATTCAACGAACGAAACGAACGAATTGACTAGGAAAAAGATTCAATTTTGTTTTTCATTTCAAAGTGTAGAGCGATCCCAGCGGCGGACACTGACCTGTATGACGGCACTGAACCAGCACGTGTTCCCCACGTTCTTCAGCCCAACGGGACAGTTGTCCTGCCTCTTCCTGTCGTACGGGTTGGGTGAATCGCTCCATACTTCGGTGTGTGTGCGCTTCAGGCTGGCCTTGTTCTCAGCGATACTGGCCTCCAGGACTCTGAAGCACAAACACAGCAAACGTCACTTCGGTCTGCTCGCACACGCTATAAAAGAGTTCTGATACAACTCTACTTCCCATGTGATTCATTTCATACTGAAATCTACAGTTAAAACTAGGGGTGTAACTATAGCGTCACAAAAAAGTCAAAATTGCAACAATACGTATCGTGGATAGTTCAACCAAAATAAACATTACTGTGTTTTTCAAGTTTTCCAAATTTTAGTGTCAAAACTACATTGAGCTACTATATATAATGTTGATTATAATGTATAATAATGCAATGGGGGAATATTTGTGTGTCCTGATAATGCCAAATGTCTGATGTTACCAGTAAAAAGTGTCCGACATTATTTTAAATATATCTCGCAAGCATATTCGTCTACAATAACTCAGTAATTTCAGCTTCAGAATCATGAATATTGTTATTCTGGTGTCTCTATTGTCATTGGGTTACAAGCACCAATTCATTTAAACCTACAATCTAATGTCAAATTTAACATTTTAATCAACAGTACATTTTTTGTTAACCTTTTACCATATGTCTAGGAGTATCGCAATAATATCGTATCGTGAGTTCAGTATCGTGATATATATATTGAATCGTGACCCCACCTGCTGATGGCCTGCTCTTCATCGGTGATGCCGGTCTCTCTGAAGGCCCTGTTCGACTCCTCCAGACTGAGAGCGATGGCCCGCTGCAGGTCATCTTTATCATCTCCAGTGAGATCAATTACATCTGAAACCATCACAGGAACATCCGAAAGTGGGTTACTAGCAAACGATGGGTGTCGTCGTGTTGTGCTTGGAGTTTTGTGATAATGTTGTGTAACATTGAACACTTTTGTTAATCAATGCTCAAATATTGTTTGATATTCCATTAGTTAGACAGCTCACACTGTCATAGTGACAGGAAAAAAGCATGAGGAAGCAAGCCAAACTAACATTCGCCCATTTAGCATTTTCTCAGTATTGTGTCAAAATCATTTAAAACCAGCGGAGAGGAGCAGCATGCTGGATCTTTACAGGTCTGGCTCTCTGAGATGATGTGAACTCCCACTGTTATGAGTTACACGACGTCTCATTTCAGCTCTTGTTTCTAAAGAGGAGACGTTTGGCAAAGACGCACAGCAGAGCAAATTCCCTCCAGCAGTTAAAGGAGTAGTTCACTTTTTAAAAAACTTTTGCTGATAATTTACTCGCCCCCGTGTCATCCAAGATGTCCATGTCTTTCTTTCTTCAGTCGAAAAGAAATTAAGGTTTTTCATGAAAACATTCCAGGATTTTCTCCATATAATGGACTTCAATGGGAACCAAACGGTTCAAGGTCCAAAAGACAGTTTCAGATGCAGCTTCAAATGTCTTTAAACGACACCAGACGATGAATAAGGGTCTTATCATGTGAAACGATCGGTTATTTCAAAAATGTATCTTTTCTAAGGACAAATGCTAGCCTTGCTCTATTCTATGAGGCGTGTTTGTAACGTCACGTAATACGTAATTGCGTTCAAAAGGTCACGGGCGACGTAGCCGGAAGTACAGAATCAAAATCGTCCGACATCGTTGTTTTACCTTTTAATTACTTTTTTGTAAACGGCGTTTGAGTTAGTTTGCACGTTCAACCTATGCGTTCAACTTGTAAACACTGACTCTGTACTTCCGGCTACGTCGCCCGTGACCTTTTGAACGTAATTACGTATTACGAGACGTTACAAACGCGCCTCACAGAATAGAGCAAGGCTAGCATTTGTCCTTAGCAAAGTTACATTTTTGGAATAAGTTTTGAAATAAGCGATCGTTTCGCATGATAAGACCCTTATTCATCGTCTGGTGTCGTTTAAAGACATTTGAAGCTGCATCTGAAACTGTTATTAACTGTCGTTTGGACCTTGAACCGTTTGGACCCCATTGAAGTCCATTATATGGAGAAAAATCCTGGAATTTTTCATCAAAAACCTTAATTTCTTTTCGACTGAGGAAAGAAAGACATGGACATCTTGAATGACACGGGCGTGAGTAAATTATCAGCAAAAGTTTTTTCAAAAGTGAACTACTCCTTTAATGAATCAGTCTCTCTTTTCAAGTTCAGGTACCAAAATACAGATAAAACAAATAGTCTTTATATTTCAGAACTGCTTATAAATCAGTTCTGCGAGCTGTCGGGAACAAAGCATTTACAGCTGGTTCCTTTGCGTCACGGCGTTTCATTGTACTTCATCACAGAGCAGCGTAATCTCTCCCTGGATTCCGGCCAATCGTTGTTCTTGGATGTAAAATACGTACTTGTATCAGCCTGGCTGCCCACGCTGATGTAGCGATCATTGGTGATTTGGGCCGTCTGGTAATAGGTGGCTTCATCTTGCTGCGGGACCTTGGCATTCTTCTCCGTGAGAAAGGCAACCGCCTCGGCTAGGTCACCGTTACTGGCCTGGACACAAACACATTTCATTACATGAGTCCAACAAGTCCATCTATGGCAAGTATACAGTGGTATGAATAAGTTTGGACCCCCATGCTAAAGTTGCCTAAAAAGAGGAATAAAAAATCATCTTTTGGATATTGATCTTAATGCCTTAATTAGAAAAATGAGGAAAACTCCAACCTTTAAGGACACCAATTTTCTTTGTGAATGAATAATGTATCATAAATAAATAAATGTTTTTCCTTAAAATACAGTAAGTCAGGACACTCCTATGTTAAATTCCCATAGAGTCAGGCAGATTTTTATTTTTAAAAGCCAGTTATTTCATGGATCCAGGATAATATGCATCCTGATAAAGTTCCCTTGGCCTTTGGGATTAAAATATCCCCACATCATCACACACCTTCCACCACACCTAGAGATCGGCATAGGGTACTTTCCATAAGATCATCTTTCAATGCAAATCAAACCAGCTATTAGGCTAACTGAAGTAAAACCATGCCAATCTCTAGGTGTGGTGGATGGTGTGTGATGATGTGGGGATATTTTAATCCCAAAGGCCAAGGGAACTTTATCAGGCTGCATATTATCCTGGATCCATGAAATAACTGGCTTTTAAAAATAAAAATCTGCCTGACTCTATGGGGATTTAACATAGGGGTGCCCTGACTTACTGTATGCACCCTGTATTTTAAGGAAAAACATGTATTTATTTATTTATGATACATTATTCATTCACAAAGAAAATTTGTGTCTTTAAAGGTTGGAGTTTTCCTCATTTTTCTAATTAAGGCATTAAGATCAATATCCAAAAGATGATTTTTTATTCCTCTTTTTAGGCAACTTTAGCATGGGTGTCCAAACTTATTCATACCACTGTATCATGTATGTTTTGTATGTATATGAGTTGATAAAAGTGAAAGCTCACCTGCAGTGCTTGCTGTAACAGCTGAACATCTGTCGTTCCAGTAACTTCCCTCAGCTGGTTCAGTAATGTCTGCTGGTGCTGTGAGGGAAAACACTTTTCTTCAAATGTGAAGTAAATCAAAATGAATATTTCCTGTGCTTGTGACTATACATCCCCTTTTACAGCTTCATATCGACCGATACTGTGTATTTCATTTGTGTGTGCTTATTTCCCCTGTTTTTACACTGAGATTGGCTTTGCAGTCATAACATAAAAATATTAAACATACAAAAGCTAACTGCAGATGGTCATTTTTTCTGGGTTTTGGCAGAATAAGTTGGAAAATGGATCAAACGTTAATAATATTGGATCAAACCAGCAAACAGAACAACATCTCATATCTCTGGATGGAAAACAGAGTACTGGCCCTTTATCTCAGTCCTGGCTCTGATCAGGAACAGCATGAGTCAAACATAACCCGTGCCAAACAGGAACGCTCCTCCCTGATCTGTTTCGACACATCTGATCATTTTCGTTTGGGCTCTATCGAATCTTCTTCTGCTCGCCTCATGTTAAGTCTTGAGTTACAGACATCATTACATAATCGAGGGATGCTTCACTGACCTTCTGCCTTTGCGTTCAAGATATGACATGACATGAGGCGTGGTATGTGCGGAGCGGGCACGTCTCAACACTGAAGGTGGCACACCCCTCCCTGATACACTGGGCTAAGTAACACACATTTCTCAACAGTAACATGATAAAGCAACACACACTCTGTGCCAAATAAGGAAAGCTGAACATAATACAACCCGTTCACTTTCAGTTTATGCGAAATACACAGTTTTATATTCCCCACCACCTGCTGTAACTCAGCTTTGAAAACTCATCTTGTGTAATTAAGATCACAGATTCGCCTCTTCAGTTACTACATAACCATCTAATGAATAATCAGCCTATTTTTAACTAAATACTAGATCATTATACTGCTATTAAAAGCCAAAAAACCCATCAACATACACTAGAGATGTATCATATTAAACAAGCAGTAGAAAATCTGTTTGCAAACAGATTCAATTTCAATCTATAAAAACACTATTACACAACATAAACTAACAAGAAACGCCTAATATTTAAAAAGAGATCAAATAATGCCTCAAAAAACGGATATCAAGAGTCCCTTTACAAATTTTGCCATTTAAATGTGTAAACTTGACAGATTCAATAAATGAACAAAGCTAAAATGCCAAAAATAAACAAACCAATGTAAGCCCTAATGTTTACAAATGCAATAATCCCACAAAATAAAACTAATGTTTATGAACAGACAAAAGTATATTAACAAATAGATGAAATTGAAACCGACAAGAACAAGTTTAGTGTTTAAAAACAAAAGAGATTAAATGAATTAACATAAAACGCAAATATGTGACATAAGTGAGCATGAAATGCTAATGTTTACAACCATATTTTCCAGCATTTGTGTGGGTGTGAGAACATAAACACACGAGCTACATCAAACACTAACTCAACAAGAGGTGTCATTACCCTTCTACACACTCAAACACACACTTTGCGAGGTTTTTTTTTGAAGATTTAAGAGACTTTCAGTGAGATTTCACTGCGTTTTGGGGGTAAGTTTAGCAGGTTTAGCTGTTAGCATAAACGCGACTATTTCGCAGCTTTTGTTAGCTATGTGGGCTTGTGTTTGTGTTTTATTTACAGTTGTTAGTTGCTTTAAACGGTTTAATTTATTTAAAATTCATAAGTATGTAAGCATAAACGGTCCAATAATTAAAAACAAACACAAAAACGTGAGGCGCGGCTAGTGTGATGCTAGGCCGCAGCAATCAAACTGAGCCACTGGGACTTTCAACGCCCCACCATAAACCTCCTTTGACACCGAACGAACCTTGCCGAACCGAACCGAACTGGGTCTGTGTGTTCGGGCGGTGCGCGCGGGTTACCTTCTGAGAGTGCTGCTGCAGGACATTCTGCTCCACGGTCATGGCCGGTTCCGATCCAGACGAAATGGACTCAGGTTCGAGGGTAAAAACGCAGCATACAGGAGTTAGAGGAGTAGATTATGGGAGTTTAAAAAAGAAAAAACCCGTCCTCATCCTCGCTGCAACGGCGCCATGACGAACAAGAACAGATACATCTGACATCTCTGACATCCATTAGCTGGGTCTGGAATCTCGGGATCACACGCGTGCCCGCCCATACGTCATGGTGATTGTGTAAACACACATTGAAACATGTAAAACACTACACATTAACAACTCAATAAAAATAAATCATTAATAAAGACGTGACTAAAAAACTCCACTGTTAATTTCCTAAGGATAAAGTAAACACAGATTGCAAACACACACACAAATATAAAATGTAAACAGTAAACCGATTATGAAACACAACTCAATACACGAAACAGCAAATAATTTGTCTATAATTTAGCCTAATTGTGTTGCTTTTTAACGCGATAACTTGTTAATCACTCCCTGCTACATAACAGGCCAAAGTCAGCTGACTTCGAGTTCTGTAACATCCATGAAACGAAAGTAAAAGTTCTCTCAGAAGAAACTGCAGTTTCTGTTCAGTGAAAGTATGACCCTGCGTGGAAATAAATGAATGAATATGATCTTCAGTCTGGCTTATGCATTTTAGGATTGATCCTTATTCCTTTTTTATGATTATTAATTCCAAATTAAATCCTTATAGCTAGCTAGCTAGCTAGATAGATAGATAGATAGACAGACAATTTTGCGTTCTGACAGCAGGTGGCGCTATTGCACATGCTTTCGATGCAGTTAAACTGTGACCCAGACTGAAGAGTAAAGCACACAAAAAGTCACCGATCAGAGGTTGGGATGTTTCTATTCAACACATTAGTGCATTTTTGCTGTGAACTTACCTTTTTCAACTTACCATCTTTCAAATCAGTGAATAAGCCACCGAAATGAGAGCATGACCTAAACAGCAGTCTCTGCGTCACTAGGGTTTTACTCCAGGTGTCATTTTACTAACACCATGACATTGAGTGTGTTGTTTTGTAGCCGTGCTCCAGATCTTTTCCTGGAACTCTTTGTAAATATGGAGTTTGGTCTCTCGTGTTCTTTAATAGTGTATGATATGTTTCACTGGACGTCTGTATACAGTAATAATCGTACTCTCTCTCTGATTACATAAGGTAGCTCTACTTTACATTTACAGGTCACAGCTCACTAAATGTGATCATAATGCAGTTGGCAACCATGTGTGAGTTCATGTTACAGCTGTATTCTGTAAAAATAACACTCGTAGTTACTTGGAGGCGCATAGAATCCACAGTTATTAGAATTAATTTGAGTCAAACAAAAATAAATCTGACCTCTACCCCCGCCCTGCTCTCTTAAAATGTATTTGAGGCAGAACTCAAAGGTTTCACGGGTCAGTCAGAAAATGAAGTTAGTTGTGGCGGTCACTCTTTGACCTTTGCCCTCAGAAGCAATAGTTCTAATCTCAATCTGGCCTCTGTGAGATTGCTTGACATTAAAAGTGCCCTTTCACATTTAAAAGTGATTTGTGGAAATGTTTGTGCTAAAAGTCCATGACCCATGAAGCTGGATTGGAGGTGGTCATGTGTAGAACATATTTATGGAAACAACAGTTTTCTTAAAATTGAGAAAAAATGTATATAGTAGTCTATATAAAATGTATGTATGTGTGTATATCTAGGCATCATTTATCACTGTGTATTAAATGTCAGGATTTTGGACCCCACTTTTTCCCCCGAATTTTGAAATATATTATTTTTATTATACATTATTATATAGTAGGCTATATATATATATATATATAAAAGAAAAGAAAAGAAAAAATCTGCAAAAAGAGAAAAATGTAATATAAACATACAGTGAGGTCAAAGATCGATATATAAAAACAATAATATTTTTCAGAATTCTAACATTTTATTTCCAAATTTAAATGAAGAAAAAAAAGTTCTCAAACATATGCAACCACAAAAAGATGAAAATTGTATGTGTGTGTATATATATATATATAATTTATATTATTTATTCAGTTTGTTTTTAAAGTTTTGTAATAATTTGAATAAAATAATAAAACTATATTTTTTAATTAATTAATTAATATTCATATTATACAGAGTAAGGTCCAAAAATCTTGTTTTATTAATATAAAATAATATTTTTTGAAATTCTAAAAATGTATTTCAATGACATTAGGACTTTATAATACAGAATATAAAAAATATAATTATAAACACTCTCAAAAATGAATTAATTGCTCCATTTATTAAGCTTAATTGAAAAATCCCCCCATGTTTCATTTTCAATGTGTGAAACCGAGAACTAAAACTATATTTATTGAACTTGCATATTCAAGGTTTCCTCATATCGATGCACAAAACCCTTATATTATCAAAGGTCATGAGACCACATCTGTTCCAGCGCTGAACTTGAAATATCAGGCCATTTATCGTGCCATTAACCCATGAAACGTTAACTCCAACATAAGTTAAGTGTGAATCAATTTTAAGCTCTTGTATGCTCTCTGCGGCTCGAGGTCAACACACACCAGTTGCCCGTGATCAGCGACAGGGCTCAGCGAGCGCTCCTAATGAAAGGAGGAGATCTTCTGCCAGCTGTCACAGTTCTGGTGGCCTTTGAAGAAGGGGATGCTGGGAAACGGGGGGGTCACAGCTGCAGGGCAACTGCAGATCAACCTCAGCGAGAGAGCTGAAGATGTCAGAGAGAGACAAAGGTCAAAACCCCTGAGGCTCTGGCACAGACTTCAAGCAGCTCACCTTCACAACAGAACATCTACAGCATAGAGCGCTGATTAAACAATGGGTCACACGGACACGTGGGTTACGGGGATTTTAACAGTGTTTGCAGAGAAATGCAGTCTAGTGTCTTAGTTATTGCTCATACACTCTAAACAATGCTGGGTTGATTCAACCCAAATTTGGGTCAAATATGGACAAACTCAAATGTTGGGTTGAAAATGTCATTTAAAATTCAACTTCAACTGTATATTTCTTAATGACATTTTAACCCAACATTTGGGTTTGTCCATATTTGACCCAAATTTTGGTTGAAACGACCTGATTTTTTTTAAGAGTGTAAATATCAAGTCAAGTCAATTTTATTCAGTGATTTTTACTATTCCTTCAAAGCCAAGCAAGTTTTCGGGTACTATGAAATAAAAATTGACCCTTTTTTATGGAATGTCGCAGTATTTATTTAAAGTGATTTATCCGTATTTTTTTTTTAATTCATGTGCTCTCGTATTCTTTCATCAAAATAACTTCCCTTCCTTCTTGCAACCCACCTCTTCTCTTCTCTGATGACGTGTTTACTGGTGGGAGAAGCTGTCACTCACATCACATCCACCAATGAATGATCCGATCGATTCCAGATGGACTAAATCCACACCTGCCCTACAGATAGATAGATAGATAGATAGATAGATAGATAGATAGATAGATAGATAGATAGATAGATAGATAGATAGATAGATAGTGACCACAGTGACCCTCAGTAATGTGTGTATGTGTGTATATATATGTTAAAACACTGTGGTATCAAACGTTCATAGAATTTATAATCTGTTACACAGTTATTTTTTGCAATTAATTTAATTTGTACATTTCAATTTAAGTTGTTATAATACTTTGTTTTTTATTGATGTCTTCACTATACTATGTGTTACAAGCTTTGGCAATATTGTAATATGTACAGTCATGCCAATAAAGCAATTTGAATTGAATTGAATTGACAGAGATAGATTAGATAGACAGACAGACAGACAGACAGACAGACAGACAGACAGATAAGATAGATAGATAGATAGATAGATAGATAGATAGATAGATAGATAGATAGATAGATAGATAGATGTGTCTCTTGTAGTGAATAAATGTTATTACCCTTTTGACAGCAGCCTGTGAGACTCATTCCTGTAAACTGTAGTGAAGCGGCTGTGAACGAGTGTTTCTGTGTTCTTCTGTGCTGGAGAGTCTGGTTAAACATTGACGCGGGGAGCCGTGCTTCATCGTAGGAAATACACACACAGCGGCTCCAAACCTCCATCTCAACCTGCTGACCCTGCTGACCCCAGTCCTCCGTCTTCCTGGAACACCAAACCATTTCCTTTGTGTGGTGGGCTGTATAAATGTGAAGGAGCTCGCTGGGCCGCCTCCAGACCCCCCCGCCGTCCACCGGCCCGGGACAGGACAGGACATCAGAGGATGTGAGACAGACAAACGGCCGTCTGTGCGCTTTAAACACTGACCCCGGTTCAGACGCGTGACTTGTGCATTTGCCCTCTCTTCTGTTTTGAAGCCGAAAGGAAATCGGGGGTTACTGGCAGTTCAGGCATGATAAGATCTCTGGATGGAGAAGTTCACATGGAGGAAAGGTTACGTGAAGTTGAAGAAAAAAAACCCCTCATTAGAGGTTTAAAGAAGTGGGAAGACAGCAGACAAAAGCCTTATTCTTATTCACTTTGCAGAACCCCCAAAATTATTATTTTTAAAACTCACACTAAAAAAAAATATTTGAATGTCACTGCATTAGATAAAACAGTATCGAAGAAAGAAAAAATGCTAGACATTCTCACACAACTAACCTCACTTTTCTGAGTCAGTTTTGCAATCATTTTATAAATTATAGATTGCATATTTTGAAAACCTAACATTAAAGGAGAACTAATAAAACATCGGTACAAAGTCAACCGTTCTCTGAGATTTGTTTTCATGATAATCGAATGTAAAGAGTTTTATCTCTAAAAACTGCATTGAGAACTTTGTAAGTATACAGACCGTTTAATAAGAAGATATTTTATGAAGACAGTTCACAGGAGGATCCATCTTAAAAGTAGTCTCGATAAGTCAAACCACAACCGTCGTGCTGAGTGATCTGAACTGTATGAAGTTCAGCGAACTTCTGAACTGTGTGAACGGCGTTCGGAGATCGACTTATCGAGACTATTTTTTAAGATGGCTTCTGTCTGTATACACGAAGTGAACTGTCTTTATAAAGTATCTTCTTATTAAACGGTCTGTACACTTACAAAGTTCTCAATGTTTCGTTTTGCATGTAGGGACCCTGGTTATGTTACTGTGGGGCTATTTTGAGCCTTGTTAGTGGTATAAACTAGCGATTTCTTTTTACTTAGTCAATGCCCCCATTACTATACGCTAGAGATAAAACTCTTTAGATTATCATGAAAACAAATCTCAGAGAACGATTGACTAGGTACCGATGTTTTATTAGACCAAAGGTTCATTGTTCGCCGGAGTTCTCCTTTAATTTTCTAAAAAAAAAAATTTTTTTGCATTTAAATGTCATTTTTCTTTCAAACAAATGTGACTAGACTGGATATTTTGCTGAAACTATACATAATTATAATCTTACAAATACTTTTGAGCGAAAACAACGGGGAAAAGCTAACCCATTGGGCTTGAAATGTTTATTCTGACATTTGTTTTAAGTGGCCGAAAGGAAGTGCAAACTTGAGATCAATGCATTTCTCTCACAATGGTTGGACAAGACACTTTTCAAAATGGAAGCCAACTACCTGTTTTCCCGTAATTATGAAACAATGTTTTCCAAATCCTCCTTACCATCTCTTTCCTGCCATTGTTGAGAACTGGCAGTCATGCAAACACCAGTTTGGAAAGTCTTTTTATATATACAGTATATTGTTCGTTTATGATTTGGAGTCAGACACGGAGATGATGGTCATGATGAATACTGTAGTTCAAATGGTTAATATTGCTTCTCACACTTCGTTGCCTGATAAAAAGCTTGCTTTCGAGTAGTTTACTCATGTTCGACAACCATCAAGGGTTAAAATTTGACCTCTGGCCTCATGCAAGGTTATATATTAAAAAACATTTCGGACACATTGTAACCTTGGATACATAAATACAGGTAAAACATGGCAAACACATCATTCAGTTCTGTGCATTTCAATATTTTATTATGCTATCAGTGCAAATAAACACCAAAGAAGACAGAAAATAAGAAAACTAAAAGTCTCCAGTCAACATAGGAGTATATGAAGTTTTTTTTTTTTCACAATGCAGAGCCACAACATTGATGAGAGACTCTAAATTAAACGATGTTGTTTTTTTAGTCAACGAACAAAACCATTCAGAAAAAAGAAACAATTACGCACACTTTCCTCAGGTTTGAGCACAGGCTCAACAGTTTAGGACTGCATTTGCAGACAGATTATGGTTTAAGTACCCATCTCTCCATGATAAAAGCATCTATTTTAAGACTTGACATTTCCCCATAACACAGGGACTCCCCATGCACACAGCATGCTACAGGCAGAGCCTCGAACAGAGCAGTAGATGAACAAAGATTATCGTTAGCACAACATACACATGCAGAAAAGCATCATCCTCCAGTACCCTATGTACATTATTACAGTTTTCATACAGTATGTACACCGCAAGACGTTAAAAACTGATATTTTATGTCTTGAACAATACAAAATAGTAATCTTGAAAGCAATATTTACATAAATGCATCTAATCATTGTCAAAATCGTACAGAGAATGTGGAATAAAATCTGTGAATTTCTTTTCTAGTTTAATGTTTAAGACTCGAGTGATGGGCCTATCTGAAAAAAAAAACAACATTATTTCAATCAAATAAAGTGAACATAAAACACTAAAGTATCAAAGTGAATTCCAATCCGAGTGTCTGATTCACACAGTGTCCTGAAACAACCCTCATGGTATAATCTCTTTCAATATTCAACTTCCTGTCAACACCGTAAATGTGTGAATGCTACATTATAGGGGATTTAGATAAGATACAAAACAACAAATGATACAAAATTGTAAAAAGGTACATTTCATTGGCTAAAAATATGACACTCAGATTTTTTTGATTTTTTTTAAACATCATGCCATCATTATCACCACATAACAGCTATAGTTTCATTCCAGATGAAAAATAAAGCACGGTAAATCTGACTTCAGGAACGTTACCTTTCGATCACATGTGAAACCCTTCTTGACCTTTACAAGAAAGATACCTGATAGATTACACTGCCGTTCTGCTGTAAGAAAATAGACTTTATAAATGGACATTTCAAATCCAATATTGTGCTTCGACTGTACAATTTTACACGTCTCAGTAAAACGAAAAGCATCCTGATTTGGCTGTAGATAAATATAGTGTGAAATTAGCAGTAACGTTTCTGGATTCATCAATAATACACGGAATTGGATGTTCTTCATAAATATTTCACTTGTGGAAGGAGAAAAAGCTTTTTGTGGTTGTGCTGAACAGAGAATTTAGCTTAGCATACATCCAAAAAAAAAACATTCAAAGATGTGTATGCAAATGGAGAATCACGATGTGAAAATAAAAAAAATAACCGTACATGCAGTTCTTTGGTAGTTCACATCTACCATTTGTCCACGGAAGCGTTTAGGCGGTCTTCTCTCGGTCAGTTGATCCTGTGCTCATAGTCATTGTACGGCTCCACTTTTGCACTCGTGACGCAGTGGGCCGGCTGCCCCTGATCCTGGATCTCAGCTCTGAGCTGACCGTTTCCCCGCTGAAGCATGTAGTAAAGAATCGGGTTAGACCTGGTTAAAGGGGGTGAGCCTTGACTGGATCTCTCCTCCCGGCTAAAAGTTCCTCCAGGAGACCCCTCGGGTGGTTTAGGACTGGCTACGGGAGAGGATTTAGCCCAAACTAACGTGGTATCAACAGGTGTGGGGGCCGTTTTGGGAAGAGAATACGGGTACCATGGCAAGTTTGACAACTCGTAAGGGGATAAGTTCCCGTTGGCTGCACAGTTTGCCTGAGGGATGAAAGGACTCGGGGTCTGGGATGTCCCTCTTGGCTGGGACAGCTCCTTCAGACAGTTCTCCGACAGGAGGAGCTGCTTGAGAACGTTGAAGCCTTGGCTTTCTCTGGAGAGAGGAGTTTTGCTCTTGGGACTCCCAACTACATCTTCCTCTTTTGGTATTACAAGGCCTCTACCATTCATTTCAGGTTTTCCAGACGACTGACAAAGTTCACTACTTAGGCACTCTGTCAGTTTTCTTTTTTTAGGGACGGGACTCTGAAAATCCATTGGCTCCACTTTTACAGAGTTCCTGTGTGGGTTTGAATGGTAGGTAGCATTCTGTTGTTTCAAAAGCTGGCTGAGAAGCCCAAATTTAGCAGCGGTTTCTGTAGGACACAACTCGGGTTTTGTCGCGTCCTGTGCTTCAGCAACGGGCGAGTGTTGTTGTGATGATCGTCTCCGATGGTACACCCCATCATTAGAGCTGTCTGATGAAAAATTCTCCTCTACTGGCTCTGTTTTGATCTTGCACTCCAGAGAAGGCTCGTTTGAGGCTTCGGTCTGAGGCTTCTCCAGCCTCCCTGAGGTTACTTCAAATCTTTCGAATCTGTGCCCACTGGTTCCTTCTTTCTGGGGAGCCGTTCCCAGCAGAAGCTGCAGGACAGTGCGCTTCTCTAGTAGATTTTCAATCTGTGTTGACGACGAGGGTGATTGGTTGCATTTGTGAGGTGAAGAACCTTTAGTCCGCTTGTTCGGAACGACGAGTCGATCCAAGAGGGCCTGAGGCTTGTCAAGCTCAAGTTCTGGGCTTTGCCTTCTGCTCGTCACTATTTGAGAGTGTAAAGGAGGGGGAGAAGGTGACAAGTTCTTTATACCACTCTGGGCTAGATTCTGTAGGAGCTTGCTGGCACTGAAAGGAGGCTCCACCATCTTTTCACTCGACTTACACAGATCTAGTGGACTGGACTGGGCATGAGGCGAGGGGAAGGAGTACGAAGGGGAGGCCGAGGTGAAGGCAGCCGTATGCCGGTGCAGAGGACTCAGTGTTCTGCTGTCCTCAGGTGTGCCAATCCGTTTTGTGGTCAAGTTGCCGATAATCGAGTCAGGCCGCAAACCAGGACTATCTGAACTTTTGTTATGCCTTCTGTGGTCCAGCAGTAACTGCATTAGAGTGACCTTATCGTGGGATTTCATGTCTGGGCTGGTCTCCAGATCGGTGGCCTCAGGGACCATCGGCCATTTGTTTACGAGAGACTCCGAGGGGGGCTCGGATGATTGGCTAGGCCCTCTGCTTTTCATGGAGAGGTCGATGGGGGAACAGCTGGAGAAACTCTCGGCATCACTGCTGTCTTTGGTCAGGCTGTTATCCTGGTTGGAGTACTCGCTGTCCGAATGCAGGGAGGAGGCCCGGCTCGGCTCGTCCTCCAGGTGTCCGTTTCTGGTGAGCTGCTGCTGGGAGTTGTGGTTGTTGAGAAGCAGAAGCAACAGACTGCTGCAGTTCTGCGGCGGCCGACCCTGTCTGTCGAAGGGCCGCCTCTCTTTGGGGGGTCTCATGGTGGGTGAGGAAAGGGAAGGGCTTCTTTTGCTGGGGAGTGTCCCATTTTGAACATTTAAGGAGCTTAGCATGTCCGAGGTGGGTGTTGGTTGCCTCTTGTCCTGCGTTTGAGTAGCTATGGCCGCTAACCTCTCGCTGGCTGATCGACTGGTTAATTGTGCTTTTAAGGCCTGTTCTCTGGAGTACTGCTGTAGATGAGCCTCGCTGGACAGCAACAAGGCCAGCTGGCTGCAAGCGACACTGGGCTTGGGTGAAGGGGCCGGACTGGTCCTGGTCCGCACTATGTTGGCAACAGCCTTGAGTCGCTCTGTGCAGGACAGTGATTCTGAGCTGGAGGGCTGGGCAGAGGAGTGAGGAGAATCACAGTAAGGCACGGTCTGTTTCTGGTGCTTGCTTTTCCTCATGAGGCTTTTTAGGCGGCCTGACGCTGTGCCGTAACTCTGGTAGGTTTCCTTACCAACAGGAGCACTTTCACTGCTCTCCCTGTCGAGCGATTTGTGGCTTTGAGAAATGTGCTGGGACAAGGCGACACTCTGTAGCCGAGAGCTGAAGGACTGGAGCAGAGAAGCCAGCAAGGTGCTCTCTCCCTGCGTGGAGCCATCGTAGTGCTCCCTTCTCTGTCCGTTCGCGTCCACCACGGCGCCTGATCGTTTCTGGCCGTCGTCTTCATTCCACGCTCCCGAGCGAAGCAGTCTGGCTTTTTTAAGGTGCTGTGAGGCAGCACTAGGTGGTCTACCCTTGTCTGGCAAGGGGGAGCCACGACTGGGGAGCTGAAACACCCTAGTCACCCTGTTGGCATTCTCCACGGTGTTTTGAACCGGTTCTGATCTCTGTGTGGCAGTGGCAGCAGGCCCAGTGGTGACCGGATGCATTAGCAAACCTTCCAGATATGTTAAAGCAGCAGAATCCTGGTGAGTTTCAGGGCCAGACTCCACCCCATGAGTCATGTTCAACAGCAGGATGCCCTGATGTGGTGTTTTACAACTTCTGAAAATGTCTTAGATCTGTGCCATAAATGATGAGAGCAGAGAACTCCAGTAGCGCTTTTTGGATTTCGTTTCTCTTCAGTCAAAAGGTTTTACATACAGGACTAGAGGGCATTTGTAATGTAAAGTACGACAACCCAGCTGCCATCGTCGTGCATGAGAAAATCCACACGGCTGATCCACACAGATTTGTCGGTCCCGATGAAGCAAACACTCTATATTTGGGAGTTATTCTGGGAGAAACCAAACGCCGTTTGCTCTTCTGATCTCAGATGTGGCCACACGGGAACCTACAGCACAAGAAGAGAGAACACACCATATGAGTGACAGGCTTCAACATCCCAGCATCATCAAAACAACCACTGTAACTTTCTCTGAAGTCTCCGTCAAGACCAATTAATCACAATATAAGGCTATAATAAACTTCAGAGTGCTCACACAAAGCTTCTTTTTGACAAACACCAGCAAAAGTCAATCAAGCTGCTCTCGCTTTAGGACCTCTTCATGTTCTTTCTTACGTAAAGAAAGTCTTTAAATGCCCATTACATCCCACGAGGCTGAGCATTTCTGAGAATTATCGTCATCTCCACAGATTACGGAGAGTAAATGTACATCTTAAGGTTTATTAAATCTACAGTAAGTGAACCTGTGTTTATGCATACTACACCCAAAAGAAAGATATTTGCTTAAACTTTGCGAGTAAGAAAGAAAACTTCTTGCCTGCAGGAAGAATCGTGACAATGAACACTATAAATATCACTCACAATCACTTATGACAAAAGCAGTATAGAATTTTGATGCTGGTCATGAAATTATAAAATGGTTAGTTCCTATTAGGGATGCACGATATATCGGCCAGCGTATTGGTATCGGCCGATATATGTTCATTTTTAATGTTATTGTTATCGGCCTGGTAAGAAAATGTGGCCGATTTATTAAAGCCGATAAATAATGTATTGTTCCCTTTAGCTGAGACACTTGTTGAGCACTGTTTATGTTTTTTAATTTCTTGAAATCTCTTCAAAAAATGAATTTTTTTTCGCAAATCTGTTATATCTGCTACATAACACTATAATGAGAACATCATTATAATCGTGCGCTTGGGACATGGGTTTAATTGTGAGTCTTTTGTTTTTGTAATCAGGCTCTCAAAATTAGGATTTAAATTTATCGGCCGATATATCGGTTATCGGCTTTCAAATATAAAGGATTATCGGTTATCGGTATCGGCCAAAATTTTCATATCGGTGCCGATATCCCTAGTTCCAATCCTTGATTCTGATAGGTCAATAGCTGTGCTTTATTCACGATAAAACACAACCATGAGCACTTCACCCAACGGCTCTATTTATCACTGCGCAACACCGCATGTTGTCCTATGTAGCTTTCACAATGGAACGTTGTTGCTGTTCGCGGTCAGGGACTACTTTTTTCTAGCGGAAGGATGGCTTTTAGTGATTTTACTTCATGAAAGTTGCACTATTAATAAAAACGATATAAATACTGTTCGTTTTCTCACACAAACCGCTCGTTTCGTGTCTTAGGCCATCAATGTGTACTTACATTTACGAGTCATTAAAGGGTTAGTTCACCCAAAAATGAAAATTAAGTCATTAATTACTCTCCCCCATGCTGTACCAACCCCGTAAGACCTTCGTTCGTCTTCGGAACACAAATGAAGATATTTTTGATTAAATTTGAGAGCTGTATAACTACCACATTGGCTCCTAAGAGACTGCCTCTTGACGGCCCAGAAAGTCAATGAAGAAAATGTTTAAAAATCCCAAGTGACTACCGTGGCTCAACTATATGTTTATCAAGCGACGCGAATACTTTTTGTGCGAAAAAACAAACAAAAATAACGAGTTTATTCGACTATTTCTTTTCTTCCTTGTAGGCCAGAACGAGACTTCCTTAGATTTCCACGACGCATGCGCGAGATTTGCGATCTGAAGTAGTGTAAGCTGGTGCAAATCTCGCGCATGCGTCGTGGAAATCTAAGGAAGTCTCGTTCTGGCCTACAAGGAAGAAAAGAAATAGTCGAATAAACTCGTTATTTTTGTTTGTTTTTTCGCACAAAAAGTATTCGCGTCGCTTGATAAACATATAGTTGAGCCACGGTAGTCACTTGGGATTTTTAAACATTTTCTTCATTGACTTTCTGGGCCGTCAAGAGGCAGTCTCTTAGGAGCCAATGTGGTAGTTATACAGCTCTCAAATTTAATCAAAAATATCTTCGTTTGTGTTCCGAAGACGAACGAAGGTCTTACGGGGTTGGTACAGCATGGGGGAGAGTAACTAATGACTTAATTTTCATTTTTGGGTGAACTAACCCTTTAAATCATGTTTAATTTGGACTTCTCCATGCATGCTCTTTGAGGTGGTGACCATAGACCTCCATTATATGACTGACAGACAAGAACGGTTTGAGCTCAAAATTGAAACTACTGCGGAAACAAAGACACCTACATCTTGGATGCCCTTTGAGGGAAGATAAAACATACCAAACATTAATTTCAAAGTGAACTATCCCTTTAAATCCTGGAAATCAAGTTTTTTAGGCATAGACTGTAAAAAATATGGACAAAGCGTCTGTGACGTCACCCATAGACTCTCTGAAGAACGGGTTTGAGGCTGTTTATGGGGGGTATGGGCGGCGCCATAGTGGAAAATCTTGGAAAATACAAAAGTTTCAGAAAGGATACAGAGGTGGTATATGATGTGTTGTGTCAGATCATGGCCGAGACGTCAAATACAGTTATCAGCTGTCAATCACAGTTAACCGCCCTTATTTGTCATACGCTTCATATCTAAATATGATCTAAACTAACGAGTTAGAAAAAAATTCACCCCCCTCACAGTTGTCAGGCACGCGGAACATATTGAAGATTACAATAAAAGTCCATGGGACCAAACTGTAAACATGAATTTATGTTGTGAAAACGGACGTCTATGGATATTTGCTCCCTTTTGGGACCGGCCTCTAGTGGATTTGAGATGTATTGCAGTTTATCGTACTTTCAGATTAGAATGTTGCCGCTTGGTTTCAGGACCACAATCTGCATCAAACATTTTCCTCTTCCTCTGATATGGCAGTTTTCCCAGCATAACAGGACCAAAGAAGTGAATAATACCCATTTAAAGGCCAGTGCAGAGCGGGCAGGTGTAGAGGGGCACACATGTTCCTCCACAGAGCTACGGCATCAGATAACATGACAGCACCGCTGGCTGCTCGCACGACGGGCCTGAACCCTGTCAGAACTGCTTCCATAAACACTCCTGACTTCCCACTGTCAGGGCCACCATCATAAAGGTTAATTAATACAGGATTCCAGCTCCCCTAAAGCAGTGCTCAGCTGCCAGGGAACATCTTACCCTGCGTGTCCTGCCCCTTCAGCAACGGGACAACGTGTTTCAGAGGTTTGCGGAGGAGTCGAGCTCGACCTTGAGCTGGGGATGCTGTTACAGCAATTCAACAGCATATCCTGAATGTGCTGTAGTAACTTAAGATCCTCAAGATGACGTGACAGGAAAATCCTGCGAGAATCAGCACAAGGTCACGTGCATTTAAATGTGATGCAAACTGCATTAAGTTGCAGAGGTTGGACGCAACAAGTTACGACCGCGAGGACAGCGGAGAGGAAAACTAATTCATTAACTAATTCAGTCTCGGTTACATTATCAGCCTGGGCCACTGACCTAAATTTAACAACCTGCTAAAACTGGGCCATCTGATGTCTCACGCTAATCTTAATGGGCCAGATTAAGATTAATTTCCTGCTAATGGAGGAATAAAAGATCAAACTTGGGACAGATGGAGAAAGAAGATAAACAGACAAGCTGAAAAACAGCACCATATGAACAATAAACGCATCATTCGAGACAAATCAATATTGGTCTACAATCGGATCAAGCTGGATTAGATCTTGTCCATAAAAACAAAAGGAAAACTAAAGGGAGAGTTCAGCAACAATGAAAACTGTCATCATTTACTCACCATGAGGTCGCTCCAAACCTTAAAACAACATGATGAGACTTTCATTGTGGAAAACATCTTTTAAGTTTTGCAAAATAAAAATAAAAAGTCATACAGATTGAGAAGAAATTGACAATTTTGTTTTTGGGTGAATGATCCCTATGTATATACTTATTTACTTTATTGATAATCTTGGTAACACTTTGTTTTAGGGTTCAAATCTCACTATTAACAGGTTGCTTATTAGCATGATATTGGCTGCTAGCCTTATTCTGCATGACCTTAATCCTACCCAATACCTAAACATTACAAAAACAACTTTACTAACTATTAAAGGAGTAGTTGACTGTAATGAAAGCTTTTGCTGATGATTTACTCGCCCCGTGTCATCCAAGATGTCCACGTCTTTCTTTCTTCAGTTGAAAAGAAATTAAGGTTTTTGATGAAAACATTCCAGGATTTTCTCCATATAATGGACTTCAATGGGGTCCAAATGAGAGTTTCACTGCAGCTTCAAAGGGTTTTAAACGATTCCAGACGATGAATAAGGGTCTTATCAAGCGAAACGATCGCTCATTTAATAAGTAAATGACAAAGTTTATGTTTTATAAGCTCAAATGCTCGCCTTGACTCTCCTGTTCGAACTCGTTCATCAAAATGAACAAATCTTTTTTCGAGTCATTTGGTTCATTCAGCGAACGAAATAAATGAAATGACTCAAATAGATTTGTTCATTTTGATGAACGAGTTCGAACAGTAGAGTCACACACAACTGAGCAAGGCGAGCATTTGAGCTTATAAAACTTAAACTTTGTTATTTATTTATTAAATGAGCGATCGTTTCGCTTGATAAGACCCTTATTCATCGTCTGGTGTCGTTTAAAGCCCTTTGAACAGTTTGCACTGAAACTCTCACTTGGACCTTGAGCCGTTTGGACCCCATTGAAGTCCATTATATGGAGAAAAATGCTTAAAATGCTTAATTTCTTTTCGACTGAAGAAAGAAAGACGTGGACATCTTGGATGACACGGGGGTGAGTAAATTATCAGCAAAAGTTTTTTTTTAAAAGTGAACTACTCCTTTAATAAGCAGCAAATTAGGAGTTTATTGAGGCAAAAGTTGTAGTTTATAGTTAATGTGTGTTCCCCATGCTAAAGTGTTTCCATAATCTTTCGATCTCACAGCATTAACTCCATTTGTCTTTTCTGCACATGACCCTTCTGAACAAGAAATACAAAATATGCTTTCTCTCTCCCTCTCTCTCTCTTCCGGAGAGGTCCGCAAGTGATTATCCATTATCTCTGACAATGTCA